ATATTCATCTTTGGTTCGCCAAGAAGGAAATTATTCATATTCTCATAGAAACGAATAAGGGAATACATGAAAGTACAAGTGTTCCTTTATTTATTTCCAGAATTTCACTCAAAGTGCAATACATACCTTGTGAAGAAACCTGGAAAGAAGAAAGGAACACTTGTACTTTCACTTGAACTCATTTATCATAATTCAAACTTTTCGACAGGAAAACAATAAATGTTCTAATGTGTCACTTTCTGATTGGCAAAATGTTATGTTACAAATGTTATCCTCTATGAATCCTATTTTGTAAAGAAATGGTATGATACGATGGCCGAATTTATATTGGAAATTCCGTGTCTTGCTGTCCTCCACACAATTTCGTATTGTATTAAAACATTGGGAAAGGCAATTTTCTGATTGTGTGCATCCAACATTGAGTTCCATTTAGAAGTAAGATATTGAGAGAGAATAGATACCCTCATCATTACGAATCAGTTGATAGATAGTTTACAATCTAGTGATGAAATATTGTCCCTGAGAATCTTACAATTAATATTTCAAGTTGTTCTGTTAACTAGGCTTTCTTTTGATAATTTAATCCATGAGTTGGGCATGAAACGTATACATCTGAAATAAGAAATTGTCATTTAATGTGAAGTCGTATTTCAAGACATTGAATTCTTTTAAGTGTCCTGAATAAGTCATTAGGTCCCGAGTATATCTAATTCCACGCTGATACCATTTAATGTATATTTTAAAATCATTATAAGGAACGAAACTCATGGAAGGGAGATTACTGGATTCGTCAATATTCCTAGTGTCAAAGTTTTGCAGTTAAAACATCTTTCCAAAACTCATTCTTAATGTCTTTAATTAGCCTTTTTAATTGATGGTTTGGGAAATGCAGGATACCGATATTTTCTAGGTTTACCGTCGAACATCTTGCCAAGTGTTGCCATAAGCCATCTATTTACGTTAGCCAGTAGACATGCCAAGGGGGCCTGCTGTAGTAAACTCATAGCCACTCGTTGTACGATCTGAACGACCAATCAACCATGTTTGTTTTTATATCCAAGTTAACAGTGTTTTTGAGTGATGATTTATACATATTTTATTCACAAATGTGAAGGGATTAAGGACAAGTTGTCCAACTTAAAATACCCGCTCCCTAATATTTACATACATACAATTTCAATTATATACATCTTAGGAAAGAATACAGAGAAGAGATAGGAAAGTAAAAGAGAGAAGAGAGGAAGGGACACGACTTATGTGATCACTCAAAACGTTTTGATTGATGAATAAAGGTTTGCACACATTTGAAAATGCATTCATTCTGTTGAATAGTCAGGTCAGGACTTCCAAGTAACATCAGTGACAATGTGATTGGAGAATCACGTTTTACAATATTTTTAATATTTAACATTAATATCTCTCTTTGAATGTTGTACAGTCTACATTCTAATAGGAAGTGATGTACATTTTCACAAGCATTGTCACAGTAACAAGAAGCATAATCTTTCATGTTGAAACGATACAGATCATAATTTAACTGACTAGTCATATATATCTCAACTTTGTGTGAATAATATTAAAGTTTCTAATACCAAACGAGTAATATGATGGAGCTACAGGTTGCTCGCCCTTTAAATATGACTTGAAACCTTGTAATGAAGGTCAATTTCTTTCGGTTTCAGAAATATTATTCCATATTCTTACAGTTGATGGAAAAAGGAATCATACGAAAGTCTTAACCTTGCAGAAGGAAGGATAATATTGTTACCATTCCTAAAGTTATAGTTAGATCTGGATCCCACACTATCTGGAGTAATATCTTTTAAGTATACAGGAGCTAAATTATTTTGAATTTTATAAAATCGACAAAGTTTTCTTCTTTTCCTTCGTTCATCCAGTCTTTCCCACCCTGTCTCATACGCTACAACCATCCCATAATTCACAAACATATTCAAAGTGTGGTCTTATAAATATTATTGATTGTATTTCTGTTTAGTAAATATTTCAATTTTCGCATTATCATTTTGGAGCACGACTTGATAATTTGATTAGTGTGACAAGACCATTTGCCGTTTGCTTCAAATGTTATTCCGAGATGTTTATGATTGTTTACCAAATTAATTTGCTTTCCGTCAAACAATAATTTCAATTCTTCAGTTTCATCAATCATGGAAAACAACACTGCTTCTGTTTTTGCAGCATTATATAAGACCAACCAGTTTCTGCTCCAGCTATGTAATATGTCTAAATTGGCATTAAGAGAAGTTTCTGATTTCTTTAGTACCTTTCGATGATTTTCCAAGCGAAGTGTCATCAACAAAAGTCTTGTTACACAATCTAATTTATCAGCAATATCGTTAACATAGACCACGAATAAAAGGGTCCCAATACTGATCCTGGGGATGCCAGCTGTTAAATACCTGGGCTTGGATATAGCTCCATTTACAAGGACGTGTTGACTGTGATCACTTATATAACTCGAAATCCATTGTAAAAGCTGGCCTCTAATACCGTACTTCTCTAAGTACAAGCCCTTTGTGCCACACACGATCAAAAGCTTTGGATACATCACAAAATATCATACAATACTTTTCTTTGATGTCTAGAGATGTACAAATATGATGGTAAAGTTCAATTAATTGATGGACAGTTGAATGTAGGGCTGGGACGGGTAGGAAAAATGGAATCGAGTACCCGCATGTACTTACCCCAATCAGAATCGAGTACCCGAAAATGTAAGGAATACAGCGATTCTGTCAACCTTCTGAATATTCAATTGTAGAAAACTTATAAGGGTGTCAATAAGACATTAAAATGATCTCAAGCTATATAATTTACGTCTGTTTAACCAATATAAAGAGTAACAACATTACTTACATTGCTCGTTGAAATAAACTTTTCGTTCCTACTGTTACTGTAACTTGACTACTCACTGCACATGCGCAGACAAATTACAGTCGTTAATAATAACCTCCATTAATCGGACAATACCAATGACGTAAATGTGTTACGTTATGATGAAAAAGACAAGTTATTATTTGCTCTTGCCATTACAGAGTTCCTTTCCGAGTATTCGATTCCTAGAAATAGGACTCGATTCCGGCTGTACCCGACCCGGATTCGAGTGCCCGAGTACCCGTCCCAGCCCTAGTTGAATGGCCTGCTTTAAACCCCGATTGGTACTTATATGAAAGTGTGTTAACATGGAAATAGTTATACAAGTGTTTATATACAACTCTTTCAAATAGTTTTCCTATGCAACTTATAAGAGAAATAGGTCTTTAATTGGAAACAACAGAGTGATCACCTTTCTTATACAGCGGCATGACGTGCACTTTTCAACATATTTGGATACACACTATGCTTAAATGATACATTGAACAGTAAACACTGGGGGCTCAGATATAGAATCAACTGTGTTCTTTAATAATTTAAGATTTATTCTATCCGGCCCTGAAGCTTTGTGATTAGCTGCAAACATTTTTATAACATCACATATTTCCTTCTTAGAAATTATTATTTTTCTAACTGCGTGTTGGTCCTTGAGGAAAAATGTGGTAATGGTACATCTTTTATCATTCAATCGAGATATTGATTCGAAATATGTATTAAGTTTTCAGCTTTTCTAAATCAGAAAACAGCGTTAGGAATTCATCATCAATATTCTGCTTGAGAGGAGGAATATGAGAAGTAGAGCCCGAGTTTTTTAACAATATAACGTAATAATTTCCAATGTGAAGATTTTTTCAGCCTATAATTCCAAAGGTAGGCCATTAATATTAGAATAAAAGTTTTCTTTCACATAACATTTCATTTTGTTTTACCCTATTTCTCTGATGTTTATAAGCTTTTTATCGCTCTCTTTTTAAGTTTCCTTCGCCTTTCTCCGTAATCGGTCTCTTTTCGGGATTCTCTCCTCAAATTAGAGTCATACCATGGTGTGTCATTTGGACGAATAGTTATAGTTACTATTTTGAAGGAATATATAATTTCACATGTTGAGTAAATTTGGTATAAAATAGTGAACAAGCATCATTCACATCTGAACATCCATCATATGAATCATTCCATTCTGTATTTTCTATAAGATAATTGAGCATTTCATAATCACACCCTTATTGTAAAACCAGATTTCTCGCTTATAGGCTTAATTATTACACAACTGTGTACTTTTGTTTACATACGTTCCTCTGTAATCACTTATATTGCTATCAAACTCAACAACACCACTGCCAACAACATCAATGTCTTCACTGACAATTACTGGATCAAAGCAAAGTACTGGTTGTTTTGCTAACTCTGGTGGGTTCAAATATAACATTTCTTGAAGTTTTCATAACCAGGAATTCATTTACATTAAGTTTTCTAACGGATAAGAGATCTTCATTTATATCACCAACAATGACAACCTTAGACGACATATCAGGAGCGCTTTCAACGCTATTTTTTAAGCGAGTGAATACCCGCAGAAAGAAAAGTTGGTATTTCGGTTTGGTTTGTTGTTTAACGCCACACTCGGCAATATTCCAGCTATACGGCAGCGGTCTGCAAATAATCGAGTCTGGACCAGACGATCCAGTGATCAAGAGCATGAGCAGTCTAAGCAATTGGGATACGATGACAGGTGTCAACCAAGTCAGCGAGCCTGACCACCGATCCCGTTAGTCGCCTCTTACAAGCATGAGTTGCTGAAGACCAGTTCCAACTCGGATCGTCACGGGTGGAAGGTTGGTACGTGGTTCGAACCCCGACCGCGTCATACTGAGACGTTTAAAGACGGTTATTAAAGTTACTCCTTCTGGCGCTCGACATCAAAGGGATGAAACCAGAGTCGGCTCGGAGATAGTAATTGTGTCTGAGGGGTCAATGTTAAATTGCTGCATATGATCTCGGCCTGAGAGCAAAGGGAAGGCGCGGTCAGGCACCCTGATTTTGTAGCTGCATTCCGTCCTATAGCTTGTGTAGATCGTTGATGTACCCACCATCTCCGTGTTCTGTTCTCCTTCTCATGCACAGAAACTGCCAGAGATGCTAGGATTTTTCCTCCATCTTATATTCATCCGTCTTATATCGCAGATGATCGTACCTAGTGTATTGGTAAAAACGCACACGGTAACGCATGCGTCAAAAAATGCGGACTTAGTGTAAATCCAGCCTGATTGCGTAAAGCAGAAAGCTACAAAACATGACTATTTCTAATCGGTATGTATGCAAGGAACCATCACTGTCTACAATAATCAATAGAACAAATGTTTATAAACAGTTTCAGATCTAGATGAAGGGCAGTTAAAGGGAGACTACTTTATCTCTTCTGCGCAACAATGGTCAACATTTTGATGATTGACCGTGTGAGGGTGCGCTACAAAATATATGCGTTGCATAAAAACAGAATTTCTTCATTTTTATAACAAACGAACTTACGAATGCACACGCCTGAAATGTCGATTTATTTACCTATTATTTACACGGTATTGTTTGTTTTGTTGCATCGAGTATTTTGAAACCTGGTAAGATGATTCAGCATTTAAATCAACTATATTTTGGCACACACTCGATTTTCATGATCATGTCGGAACGAGAAGTCGCACACCTAACTAGGTGAATCAAAATGTGGATCAGAAGTGCAACGTACGGAAATACATAGTACAAAGCTGCGTCGTATTGGTCGGGCCACAGTATCCGCAGTGACGTCAGATCGGTCAGCTTGGTCATGACCTCCCGGAACCAATCCTGGGTGACGAAGTCGAATGGGGAGCCGTTCTTCTTCCAATGGGAGATGACAACTAGTTCCAGGAAGAATGACGTGACAGCTTTGACTTCTCTGTTGACTTCTACCTGTCATGGGTGAGTGAGTGACTTTAGTTTAACGCCGCTTTTAGCAATATTTCAGCAATGTCACGGCGAGAGACACCAGAAATAGGCTTCACACATTGTACCCATGTGGAGAATCGAACCCGGGTCTTGGGCGTGACGAGGAATAGATGCAGTATAGACTTAACCATTAGGCCACTCCTAGGTAAGTCATTAAAAAACTTGAAAAAGACCTCAGTAAGAACTACTCCAAGCCAAGACTCCATGTTTCTTACTGTCGCCCATAGACGTTTTTTTATAAAACATGACCCGGAAAATTACACATTTGTTTTAACAGTATATATACAATCAACAATGTCATACCGAAACGGTTTAAAGTGATCCAAATGTTAGGCTACCAAAGTTGAAGTAGTTACCTTTGCCCAGTATTTCACAAGCCGTATCAGATTCTTCACTTTGATAGGAGCTTGCTTAACGAAGTCCACCTGTTTCTGAGAAAAACATGGCGCGTACAGCCTCCTCTCATTGTCCGTCTTTGATTTCATTTCTGTGAACACCTCATCTGGAGTTTTTACTGAAACCACAAAGATTCCGCAAAGATCAGTCGAAGTAGTTCAAATTATCTATACGCAAAGAACTAATTTTTAAGCATCCCCTAACATATCTCACGACTGAATGAGCCCCGATCTCAACCCTTTGGATCATATCTGGGACACGACTGGTTTCGTGTGCAACAAAGGGATCCTCCTGTACCGAACCTGGCCCATTGGAAGCTGCTTTACACGAACAATGGCGCAGACTGCCCCTTCAGCGGCTCAGGAAGCAGACGGGGTACGAGGAGGAGAGTGCTGGCTGTCATACAGTCACGCGGACGTTACACTTGGTATTGACCTTGAATCGTTTAAGACACGCAAAATGTCATTTTGAATGCTCACATTTACCGATAAATTCAACATTAAACATTCCAGGGCCATACTTGTACAGACATGGCTTTGTATGAAAATAAGAAGTTTTTTTTAAATGAGCAATTGTCATCATAAAATCAACATGGATTCCAAATATTTTGTCGTTTTTTTTATGAGTCAAAGGATCATACGGGTCAGTAAAAACTCATATTTTTCCATCGTGGTCACCATGAGAAGGTTTATGTAGTGTTGAAAACATATCATTGCAAAAATACAGGGTTGCTTAAATATGTTCTTTGTGTATGTTTTGCCCTCATTCTCTTGAATTGTTTTTCAGTGTCAAGCCTACGAGGCAATATCTTACGGACGCCTCTCATTCCATATTTCCATATTTCGGGTGAGAATCTTACATTAGATTCCTTCCTTTTGTATGTTTCAAACCTCCCGAAAAAGCACATATCTACAAGAGTGGTTTCTGAAAAATATGTGCTTACATGCACAGGTTTGTTTAGCCCTTTGTACAACGGGTTTATGTCGAGCAGCTGTCAGTAGAAGCAAGTATAATTGGAGTTCTCCTCCCCCCACCCCCACACGCACCCCCCAGTTGATACAAACTTGATTGTGTGAGAAGAGCACGGATACAACAGTTTCAGGAAGGCCGATTGTACGAACATCAGAGCATCAAGGGTGAGTCGGGGACTTTTGTGCCACCTGCCTCATCTAATAGCTCAGTCGTACAGAATAATGGTTTTTAAAAATAGAGTTTCCGACAGTTTCTGAGTATGGTGTTAGGTCCTTTTTGCAATATTCCAGCAACATCACTGCGTGAGACACCAGAAATGGGCTTCAAACATTGCACCCATGTTGGGCATCGAAACCGGGGGTTCGATGGGGACGAGCGAAAGCTTTTACCACAAGGCTACCCTACCGCCCCGTTTGTCTTAGGTGCACTACCGTAGAGTAAGGGTAGTTACTTACAACTGCTACCATTATTTCGCGCATTGTATTGCCTGTGTTTATTGTATTCTGTGCGTTTCATTAATTGCTTATTTTTTTTTTTTTTTTTTTGGGGGTGTTTGGTGTCATGTTGTGGGTTCACAATTTAGGTCTGATCTTAACGATTTCTAAGTTTTCCAGCCAAATTGTACACGTGTATAATGTGTATTGTTATAATAGTATTACGTATTTCCATCTTGAGATAGAGACCCATGAAGATCCGGGTTAGAACCGGTCTTCGGGAACAGATGTATGCTTGTCGTAAGAGACGACTAAAAGAATCGGATGGTCATGCTTCATGCATGTCATTGTGATCCAAATGCGTAGACCGATGTTCATGATGTCAGTCATGGGATTGTGTGATCCGGACTCGGATATTTATAGACCGCCGTAAAACAGCTGGAATCTTGCTGAGCGCGGCGTTAAACAAACAAACAAATATTCCTTCATTAAGATATGGATATCGGGAACATACTTGGATGTTCGAGTTAAAAAAACCTCGAAGACTTTCATTAATGCCCTCTGTGAATGAGTATCGTACCTCGGAGAATGTTGAAGGAAGGCAAGATGTCCACGTCATGGAAATGGTCGCTTTCTCCGCAACTGAGGTTGTACTGCAGTCCCCGGTCCGAGCGGTTTCCCTGCTCCAAACATCCTGCAAAGTCCGTCCACTTGGAGTTCAAGGCTTCTTCCAAAATATTCAGCAGGACTGGCATTTTCATTGAAAGGTCTTCGACAGACTTGATGTTGTTTACAAACACCACAAGATCGACGTCCGACTTTCCAAAAACATTGGTGCTTTTTCCAAGTGAACCTCCCTGAGAAGACAAAATATTTTAACATATTTGTAAAGATTTATTATAATAATAATAATAAAATATTATAAAATACAACTGAACCCCTGTGACATACGTTTCAGTTGCTCTTCGCATAAACGTAGGGTTGTTTTCAGATTCTTGTGTATTATATAGCTGTGTTTTGGTAATAATGTTTAGTCTGTCTGGGATGCTCATGACTCGCTATCTCGAATGTTTGGATATCTCGAAGTCACGTTTGGTACGTGATATTACGGGGTTCGACTAGCAGAATATGTACCTATGTACAACCTAAATCTGTTATTCGTTTTATGTTCGTTTGGAAAACAAAATTGTTTCTTTTATCGCCATAGATTTATAAAAACAAGCTAAATATTGTTCTAAAAATGTAAAAAGACACTTCGTCTAAAAAAAATAACTATAAGAGAGCTGCAATAACCTATACATATATAAGCATTAAAATATCAGACAAATCTCCTGTAGCATACATTCCTGTAAAGCATTATGATGAGGGGAGGTGGAGTAGCCTAGTGGTTAAAGCATTCGCTAGTCACGCCGAATACCCGGGTTCGATTCAATGGGTACAATGTGTGAAGCCCATTTCTGGAGTCCTTGGCGTGATATTGCTGGAATATTGCTAAAAGCAGCGTAAAACTAACCTCATTCAAACAGGCAAATATAAAATGTTTCCTTAATACGTCTACTCACTCTGACAACCATGTTGACGCTGAGATGCGCGTGATGTTGCAGGAAGTACGTCACGCGATCTACCAGGTGGTCGCACTTCCGGCGGAAGTCACTGCTAGGCTGTACTTTGTCCTGGATAAAGTGTTGTAGGGATTCCCCTCTACCCATCCCTTCAATGATTGGAGCAGGGCCTTCTTTTAGGTAGTTCTTCAGTTGTTGGCTCCGACTGACCACAATTCTGGCACACTCCATAATCTCTGCACAGCTTCGTCGATCGGGGATGACGTTTTCGTGGGGGTTTGCAGGGTCCAACACAACCGGTTTGGTTCTGAAACCATCGTTTACGTCGGTATGAGTGAGTGAGTATGGTTTAACGCCGCCTTTAGCCACAGTCCAGCATTATCATGGCGGGGTATGTCGGTTTGACTGCATTGCGTACATGTATATGTTTGTAATGTCAAGGGGTAATATAATTCATTTTAAAACAATCTAACGATACATTATTTCTGTTAACTTTCATTAGAGGGCAGTGGGGTGCTAATATATAGACATAGACACAGGGAGCAAGTGGAAAGTCGAAATTTCTAGAACAACATAGACATGTCTAGCATAGTCATGGAATGTTTAAGAAAAGATTTGTTAAGTGGACAAGTACGTGCCCCACTCATCTCACATTACATCAAGACTGCGAAGATTGTTGTTTTCACCTGCATACCCACCACTGCTTTCAGGTGAATATAATTGTCACTTACTTTATTGGCATTCCCACTGTCCGAGTATTGCATACTGTTATTACAATTCGCTTTCAGTACCCTGTCTTGATTTACAAACTTAGTTCATTTTATAACTCAACATTGTGTCAGATTTCTTTGTTGTTTGTTTTACAGCAGAGGTACCCATAAGCTGCGTATCTGCGTAAATTACGCAAGTAATCCAATCCAACGTTGTCGTGCACATATACTCATGCCAATAATGGTTGTCACTCCCTTCAAATTTTGTGAGGTGTGTAGGGGGTTGGGGTGGGGAGGGGGTGACAACCATTATTGGCATGAGTATATATGAATCGACAAAATTCGTAAGCTTCCACATCCATAAGAATAAAGCCTATATATCATCAACATGTGTGTATGAACCACTATCAAATAGTGATGATACCAGGTATTAAAGTATCTGTCCCACCGATGGCACCCGTCAAAAACACACGCAAAGGCTTGTCAATTGATGAACGTAACCCAAACTAAGGAATTGAAATTTCGGACGCTGATGCGTCACAGTATTGAAATGCCCTTCACACGTCTACCATAGAATGCTTTGAAAACCTTACCGAGACCTTGAAAATAACAATGGCATGTGATAATGACCTAATATACAAACATCTAGTCTCTGAAATGAACATATTTTACAGAAAAAAACGGTGTATTAATAATAATCATAAAATATAATGGAAAGAGCCCAGAGCCCAGATCTAGACATGCCACATATTTTAAACTTGCATGGGCTTTCTTGGATTTGTTTCAGGGTATGTATGGAATACTAATGGGATTATAATGACTTAGGGTAATATACATACGGGACGATCCTGTAGTTGCTTGCTGTGTATCTATCTTCCCATATAATACTAAGTGACGAGAGGTCCGCCAACTGTGTCATAATCTCTTCAAACCAGTCAGATATGTTAAAATCATTCGGTTTTCCTGCCCGCTGCCATCTAAATCAACAAGAGCGAAATAAATATAGACATAAACTACCGGGCAACAGAAAGTACTGGATTCGATGAAAACATCACAACTGACTAGCCTGAAAACAGTCGTCATAACACTGCAAACTGTGTAAGTTAGATAACACAAGTATCACACTGGCACCATGTCATCATACAGCACCATCGAACAGACACATTGAAATCATCAAACATGGGTGGTTACTTTCTTTTACTTTCCAGATATGCTTAACTGTTATTAACGTGTGTTTTCAAATGCTTTTACCCTTAAAACTATATTTAGTCTATATTTATTTAAAGGTTTTTGTGATATTTGTTTACAGTTGGTATTTACGGGGAGGAGTAGCTGTAGTACAGTCGGTGTGTGCCGGCTCCTTACATGTACTCAGTATTACCTGTGCATGACCATGGTCTCTATGAAGTAACTGCCCGTGTCAATCTGCACATCCTCCTGTAACAGGGTAAGAGAGTTAGTTTTAATACCAAGCTGATCGGTAACTATTACCTTTGCTTCAGAAGGGAAAGCCCCTGGTGATGTTGGTCGTTTGTACCCACGTGCAGTTGTGTTGTGTCCACGTGCACTTGTACTGGGTCCACGAGCGTTTGTATTGTACCCTCGTGTACTTGTATTGTGACCGCGTGTACTTGTATTGTGACCACGTGTACTTGTATTGTTGACACGCGCACGTGCATTGTTGACACGTGTACTTGTATTGTAGACACGTGTACTTGTATTGTAGACACGTGTACTTGTATTGTGCCCACGTGTACTTGTATTGTAGACACGTGTACCTGTATTGTAGACACGTGTACTTGTATAGTAGACACGTGCCCTTGTATTGTAGACACGTGTACTTGTATTGTAGACACGTGTCCTTGTATTGTAGACACGTGCCCTTGTATTGTAGACACGTGTACTTGTATAGTGAGACACGTGTACTTGTATAGTAGACACGTGTACTTGTATAGTAGACACGTGTACTTGTATAGTAGACACGTGTACTTGTATTGTGCCCATGTGTACTTATATTGTCCATACGTACACCTGCATTGTATTCACTTTCGGAAACAAGAATATTGAAACACATTACAAACGGATCTTGCCCCGTGACTAAGTCGACACACTTATAGCCATACAAGTCCGAGATGAGTCATGAATAGTGAGTTAAGTCAAGATAGGATCTGAAATAGGTTTCAGTATGAAAACTGCTTTCACTTCAGGGAACACTCGTGATCATGTATTGTGATGATCGTATATCGTTCAAAGAAGATCAAATATCTAACTGATTCACCTAACCATATGACCATAAGAGATCACTTAACCCTTGTACTCGTTTGTTTAAGTTATTAAAAGATGTATGTGTATGTATTGTGTCAAAGCGTTAAAGCTCATGACATGTACACATGTCGCAGTATTCGTATATGGTGAGTGAGTGAGAAAAAGGAGTGAGTGAAAATTCAAGGACGCTTCGGCGTTATTTCTGTCATAGACGGACGAAACCAAGTTTGCATCATAAATACTTAGTCATATTCAGAGGCACGTTTTGTCACAATTTATCAGTTAAAACTAGTATTTACAAAATTATTGTATAAACACGTGCTTTAAAAGACCAACAACCAACGTTTGGTGGGGATCATGGAGTTCCTAAGCTTCATGTATGATACCCCAGCTGTAGGGTATGTGAAAGGTACTTCTTAAAAGATTTACCTTCAGCCAGTATTTCATGAGTTTCATGAGGGAGTGTACTTTGCTCGGTGCCCGTTTGATGAATTCGATCTGTATCTCTGCCAGACACAATGAGTAGCATTTTTTGACAGCATCAGAGTGTTCTCCCATGTCTATGTACACATCGTGCTCGTTTTTGTCTGGAGGAATATTTGAAAAAGAACGTCATGCACCAGAACAGATATTACAGCTTCTCTAATTGTGGTAAATCACTACACAATGATCTCTATCGAAGCCTATTGTTCCACATAACGGGAAACATCAAGGGCGATGAACTATAGAAAGACCTCGCCTGACAACCACCCTTATCACACGTTGTAATGTCTACGGCAATGTTGTGACAATCGGGTGTGGTACATGAATTGTTCATGGAATACAAAATGTACAAAAATAGTTCCTAAATTGTCTTACAATAAGACTAGATTTAGGTCTGTGCTTCACGAGAGGGTGATGATTTAAGGGTAAATTTCAGACTTCACCACCACGGTGGTTAAGGACCAAGGAGCCCCATGAAGATCAGAGTTAGAAGTGGTTCTCCAGAACAGGCTCGCTGACTTGGTTGACACATGTCATCATAACTCAGTTGCGCAGTTCAATACTCATGATATCAATGACTGGGTTGTCTGGACCAGGGCCCCGTTCCTCAAAGCGCTCGTAGCGCTACAACAGTCGTAAGTCTATGTTAAAGTATGGGAGTTACGATCAACTTTGCGCTACGATCGCTTTGAGGAACGGGGCCCTGACTGTATTATGTACAGACCGCCGTCACATAGTTGGAGTTCCAACAAATAAGCATGAACCATGGTCTTAATAACCAGTAACCAGGAATTCGAACAATTCCTGTTGGCTAAAAGAGGCAGAATGAAACTACCTACATTTGAGGATGTCATACACAGGGAATATTTGTATCATGAGTTGTTGTTCCAAGTCGTAGCATGTCAGAAGAAACGAGATTGAGTGATCTGTGCATTCCACGGTTCCTATAGCCCCAGCTGATGGTAGCCACTGTGGAGAGTCCAGCTTAGATCTGATTATGTGGAGAAGACTACTTGTCTGTGTTTTCATGTCAGGAACAGACCTCAAGTCATTACAGAAGACGAAGATGTCCACGTCGGAGGGAGAGCAGAAAGAAGTGTTCCTTCCAATAGATCCACCCTTCAATGAAATAGAAACATGGTCAGAGTTTACCATGATAATGAGGTCTTTTTGAAATCTCCTTGGATAAATAATACGCTTAAATTGTCATGGTTCGTTTGCCTGATGATTGATGTGATATGCGGCCTAAAACACTCGTTCATATCGTCTTAATAGATTCATGAATTTGAGGAACTCAACTTAAACATATGTCTTTTTCTGCATGGAGCGATATGACATTTTGTATACACATACCACTCAACTCAAGCTGAAGAGTTAGCGGGTATGGGTTTACGCCGCTTTTAGCATATTCCAGCAGTATCACGGCGCGGGACACCAGGAATGGGTTTCACACAGAATACCCATATGGGGAATCGAACCCGCGTCTTCGGCGTGACGAGCGAACGCTTTAACCAATAAGCTATCCCACCGCCTCCTGAAGCTGGAGGACTTTTAACCAACTAATCAGGCATGTCAAGGTATTATTATCGCTGCTACCTACCTTGACGATCTTCGCAACACTAACTGGAACGTTATTTCTCAGAAATCTTATAACTCGGTCGATGAGTTCATGCGTCTTCATCCCATCAGATGTTCCCCATTGCGCCATGAACTGTTGCAACGTCTGGCCTCGCTTCATGCCAGGGAGGAGAGGTTCCGGTCCTGGCTGATATGTCGTCATACTTGCCTGGAACCTTCTGCCCAATGGAAATATTGATCCCAAGTCTTGAAAATATCATCGTAAATTTACGACACAGTGTAAAATACAGAATTTACGGGTGTCAGATAAATATGATTGGAGATCCGGGTTTGAATTGGTCTTCAGTAACCCATGCTTGTCGAAATAGGCGACTAATGAGATCGGATGGTCAGACTCGCTGACTTGGTTGACACATGTCATCGTATCATCGCGTAGATCGATGCGCATGCTGTTGATCACTGGATTATCCAGTCCAGACGCAAATATATACAAACAGCAGCTATATAGCTGGAATAATGCACAATATGACGTTGAACAACAAAGATATAATCAGAGGAAGATCGTGTGCGATAGTGGTAGTTAAAACCGTTACAGTGATCGACATATGACATGTTTGTTTTATGATGTGGAGTTTATTTGTGTACATTGTGATTGCGGTGACTTCGTGTCAGCAGCTGCCAGTACTGGTCGAGACTAATCCTGTTCTGAGAGCCGCCCTTGTCTTATACCTTGATGCCGAGCGTCAGGCACGGAACACGTAACAGGTACAAATGTCTCCCAGTTTGACGCGGCCAGGAATCACTCCACCATCGTTCTGCTCTCCCGGATACACGTAACACGTAACTATGTCTCTTGGTATGACGAGGCCGGGAATCACACCACCGACATTCCACTCTCCCAGGAGAAGGTAACACGTACAATGTCTCTTGGTATGAGGGGGCTGTGGTTAGACGACCTACCTTCCGCTCTCACGGGTAAATACACCACGTACCAATGTCTCTTGGTATGAGGGGGCCGTGGTCAGACGACCTACCTTCCGCTCTCACGGGTAAATACACCACGTACCAATGTCTCTTGGTATGAGGGGGCCGTGGTCAGACGACCTACCTTCCGCTCTCACGGGTAAATGCACCACGTACCAATGTCTCTTGGTATGAGGGGGCCGTGGTCAGACGACCTACCTTCCGCTCTCACGGGTAAATACACCACGTACCAATGGCCTTGGTGAGGGGTCGTGGTCAGACGACCTACGTTACGCTCTCACGGGTAAATGCACCACGTACCAATGTCTCTTGGTATGAGGGGGCCGTGGTCAGACGACCTACCTTCCGCTCTCACGGGTAAATACACCACGTACCAATGTCTCTTGGTATGATGGGGGCCGTGGTCAGACGACCTACCTTCCGCTCTCACGGGTAAATGCACCACACCACGTACCAATGTCTCTTGGTATGGGGGCCGTGGTCAGACGACCTACCTTCCGCTCTAACGGGTAAATGCACCACGTACCAATGTCTCTTGGTATGAGGGGGCCGTGGTCAGACGACCTACCTTCCGCTCTCACGGGTAAATACACCACGTACCAATGTCTCTTGGTATGAGGGGGCCGTGGTCAGACGACCTACCTTTCGCTCTAACGGGTAAATGCACCACGTACCAATGTCTCTTGGTATGAGGGGGCCGTGGTCAGACGACCTACCTTCCGCTCTAACGGGTAAATACACCACGTACCAATGTCTCTTGGTATGAAGGGGCCGTGGTCAGGCGACCTACCTTCCGCTCTCACGGGTAAATGCACCACGTACCAATGTCTCTTGGTATGAGGGGGCTGTGGTCAGACGACCTACCTTCCGCCCTCACGGGTAAATACACCACGTACCAATGTCTCTTGGTATGAAGGGGCCGTGGTCAGGCGACCTACGTTACGCTCTCACGGGTAAATGCACCACGTACAATGTCTCTTGGTATGACGCTCGGCTAAATTGCTGTATTAAAAGAGAACAGCCTAGCCATGCCATTAATCATGTCACATTTAGTTAAGCTATCTCTAGACTAACAACTAGTCTCTGAAATGAACATATTTTACTGAAAAAAGTTCATAGTAAAAAAAAATATATATAATGAAAAGGAGCCCTGAGACTTTCTTCATTTTCAGAAGCTGAGGAAATCTAGACTTGCCACATTTTCTAGACTTGTGTGGGCTTTCTTGGATATATTTGCTTCAGGGTCTGTACGAGAGACTAAGCTATCTCCTAAACAGTTATTTATGGATTGGTGCAGATATCATTTGATGTATGTGACATAACACCCGTGCGTGCCTTTGTGTGAGAAGCAGAGTCGTTCCCAGTAAGATTGTGTGAGTGTGATTTGATGCCGCTGTTAGCAATAGTCCCGTAATATACCACTCCTAGAACTCCAGAAAAGAGCTTCACATTCTGTGCCAATGAACGGAATAGAAGCCGGCTCTCGGCGTCACGAGCCAAGCATTTAACCTCTAGCATACCTTACAGACACACACGCACGCACGCGCACACGCACACGCACACGCACACACACACACACACTCTCTCTCAACACACTTCTCCAGACAAATACATTAACAACCTTTCTTAAAGGTCACATGCAACCAAAAAATCAAACATAATTAAAACACAATTATCACTTATTCATGACATATAGTATACATTGCTGGTTATGAAAAAACATATAAACAAAATTATAAGCGTACAATCGCAAATCAAAAGTGCAATATTGTGTACTTGGGTTTACTTCCCAAGAAACGAAGCAGCCGGGATACCGAACCCAGTCAGAGCGGGTGGGTGTGCACTCAAGTGTAACGGCTGGTTCATTTGCAGATTCCCCCACGGCTCATTGTGTGTGTGTATATATAGAGATGTTGGGTTTTGTAAAATACATGCTCATTTTTTGTGTATAACATTTTACAATCAACAGACATAACAACATGTCATGTGTTCAAGTATCACACCTGCCTGTCTGTGTAATTACATAAAGTGACAGAGACCGAACTCGGGCCATAAATCAATGCATTTTGTTTATGGTGTATAGCCTGATTGGTGTTAAGTTCAAATTGCATGTGGTCAGTGATAGCAGTTGTGTATTGAATATTGTCATTAGCAGACAGGCAGGCAGACACACAGGTGTCAATAAAACAAGACATTGAGTTTTGTCTGTGACAACGACATATCTATATCACAGTTAGAAAATTCTGTCAACGCTAAATAATGACATTGCTTTTAAGTATCGAACTGAGAAAGTGACTTGGTGAGAAGAACGTGTGGTGAAATAGACAAAGGAAATTATATAAACAGTTAATTTACTGTCATAACATATAAAAAGCTCGCGCCAGTGAGATATCAACAAAACATTAGAAAAATAGCTCACACCAAAGCCTTCACCGAGTATTCACTGGACAACCCGCTTCCAAGCTGCGCGAACCTATTTCACTGCGCACGTGCTATGAGCGCAGCCCAGCTGTTGAAACCAGTTTTTCCCGAAAAGTCGGGGGAAAATTAGTGAAACGTTTGAACTCCGATTTCGCGCGGTTTTTTTCATCGCGTAATTTTTCAACTTTATAAGTTGAATTTGCATTTTTGACGTTTTGTTTCAGTCAGTCCATACTGAAAGGTATCAGAATCTGCAAAGTTGTGTTTTACGTTGCATGTGACCTTTAAGAAAAAACTGATTGAAGTAGTAAATAGTACTTGAAAGATACCTGACAAACTTGAGGTCAGCACTATAAATAATTCGAATAGAGCAGGGCGAAAATCAAAATACAATGTATGAAATCCAGGTCAAACTTCAAAAGATTACAAATGTATTACACAGCATAACAAGATGTAGTTGGTAGGCAATATCGGATTTATTGTTGCGTTCGGGATTATTGCACTCAAATAAGAAAACCGGTCCATGAGGTTTTTTGAGCGGCTGCTTGTGCTAGTCCGGACTAATGGATGATTATTGCTCGCACTTAAACGCGGATACAACATTCTAACAATGTATATTGACTCCGAGCCGACTTGTTTTATCCCTATAATGCCAGAAGGTAACAAGGTCTATCTTCTCGAGAGCCAAGTAAGGAAACAAGATCTATCTTCTCGAGAGCCTAAGGACCGTTCATAATTTATGGCTAGGGGGGTGATGATGATTTTAAGGGGTGTCACCCATTTTGTGCTAGGGGGGGGCAGCAATTTTGTACACACGTACTAGGGGATTTTTAAATTATGGTTAGAACTTATGGGAAGGTGGGGGTCATTGATTTTGTACATGACATGCAAGGTGGGGTCACTTATTTTGGACATAGATTTCAGGTGGGGTCATTCACATTGTGCATGCTTCTCAATAAAAATGATCACCCCCACCCCTGGCCATAACTTATGAACGGTCCCCTAGCAAGGAAACAAAAGCCAGGTAAAGTTAAAGCGTTCTATCGTCACGCCGACGGCGCGGGTTCGATTCTACACATGGGTAAAATGTGTGAAGCCTATTTCTGGTTCTCTCTTCCCCCTCCGGGCAGTGATATTGCTGGAATATCTATCTTCACGAGAGGCAGGCACCAAAATTGAAATATACTCTATCCAATATACCACTAAGCTTGTGTGTCACTATCTGTGGGTGTCAGATATCATGTCATCATATCATTACATATCCTGATTGTTAAATCAGACACGACAAACATGATTATCAAAATCAGCGCCATATACTAGAGCTGGGCGTGTACTGCCCTGGTGAACTAGATATGCCCGAAGCGTTGTCGTGTAATAAAATTAACTAAGGCGTCATTTGGATGTGCTATTCACACATCAAGCAGATTCAACCTAAAGGTTCACTCAGTACACTCGCGGTAGACATCTTACACATTGAACTTGCAAGTGTGTACACAGATAGACCGCGTGGCCGAGTTATGTGTAGTTGTATGTGTATATAGTGGATGTATAACCCATCACTGCCCAGACTCATTAGCACATACCATGACTGCTGCTGACTAAATGTTCCCAGTATATACTCACTGTTTTGTACGACGGCGTGTGTGACGGCGTGTCGCTGAAAAGCGATCTACTTCGCCTCTCTCCTATCGGGATTGCACAAACCTCGGGCCGGGCCGGACCGGGCCAAAACGAGGCAACGTTATTATTGACTTATTACTACGTCATCGACAACCCGGTATATATTATGGCGTAACGCCATACCTGACGCTATTTACAAACTGTACAAATACAAATATGCAACAAAACCACGTTATTGACACTTTCTTCCTCCGACTTTTACGCAACCATCCTTTATCTAGTGAACCTTTCGTGGAAAGGCCTCTGTTTCTTGGAAACCTATCCGTATTTGGAATAGGAAATCCCAGCAAATGTCATTGCTTAATGTTTTGTACAATATTTTAACCAGTATGTTATTTGAACAGGTTTAGTGTACAATTGTTACAGTAGACACATACTCTAGACTACAATTTTTGTGAATTTCCTCGGTGGAAGTAGGGCTCGGTTTTGCCTGTTTGTTGTTTAACGGCACACTCAACAATTTCCCAGGTACATGGCGACGGTCTGTAAATAATCGAGTCTGGACCAGACATCTAGTAAGCGCATTATACAATACCCTGAACCTTTAGTCGACACTTACGATAAGCAGACAAGCAACAGTTGCAGAATTCAATTCTAACAAGATCGCATCGGTTAAATCGCCGGCGCGGTTCGAAGCCCGTGCATGTTTCATTTTCTTTATAATTTTTTTTTTTAGTGTTATTTCATATTATATACTTTTCATCTTTTTTTAGGTTTGTTTGTTTGTTTATCTTTTAAGGTTTGTTTGTTTGTTTGTCGGTTGGTTTGTTGGTTTGCGCTATTGTTCCGGTAGACATGGATATGGGATTCAAATCTGGTCAGTTGACAAGGGACCCGGATATACAGGTTGCCGCTATTCCGGACGCTGTTTGAGGAAACGAACATGCATGAGTGCAAGTGGATGGATGATACAATGTGTGGTTGTATCACCTCTCCATCTACCTGTACTAATCCCTGGAAATCGTATGACACGTCCGTAAGTAGCATACGGCACCTCTCGGGTTTACACACCACTGTCTTGGGTAAAACAGATACACCGAATTTATCTTTGATAACATGCCGTTGTCATCCTCATTCTGAAAACTCATGTAAAACCAAATCTTTCACTCCAAAACGATACGTTCGGATGATACAGATGCTTTGAAGCTGACATACTGATTAGAGAGGTCATATATCGCGACCTGCTAATGAAGAGTATTCGGATTTTCACACAAGGGTATGGAATATCAGATCTAACTTCAATACATTTCCAATCTGCATGGAACAAAATTCACCCCGAACCGTGCCTACAGTATCACTAATGATTGATTGGTTGGTCTCAGCAATATTTGAGTTATATGGCGGCAGTCTGTAAATTAATCGAGGTTGGACCAGACAATCCAGTGATCAACAGCAAGAGCATCGATCTACGCAAGATGGGTATGTGGCCAACCAATTGCAAGTCAGCGAGCCTGGCCACCCTATCCTGTTAGTCGCCTCTTATATTATTTTACAACAAGCATGGGTTGCTGAAGACCAATTCTAACCCGGACCTTCACAGGTCGTATTACCAATGAAGTTAGAAGATTAACCTAACTGCTACGGAACTCGCGCTACTGGGCGTAACATGAAAAATAGCCGTGACATGAATGGATCAGGATCAGTCAGGACACCAGGTGTTCGCGAAAAGGGTAAACATGCCCTGAAACTGCCGCGGACATTTTTCTTGTTGCAATTCAAGTCGTGAACACAAATCAGACTACCAAGCATTTTTATTCATTTCCCATTTTGGTTATCACATAAAAATCACACTAATAGGAGTATCAGATACATGCGTAATACATGTACATGTACATAGCAAATAACAGTAACACCACAGAAACACAATGAAAACGCAATAAAATGTAATATTATAAAGCTTTCTAATAAAACATGTCGGTGCATTATTGGTTCTGGGGTTAACCTTACATTAAGATTAACTCTTCAGGTTTGCAATGAAAACTAAGTGTGTGCTAGATGTGGTGACCATTATGTTGGAGAATCTGGTATGTAGCTAAAGGACCGAGTCATTGTATACAGGCAGGAAATTCGAGATCCTAATGTGCGATAGGCATTTACGTCTACCACTGTTATTACAAACTATGACGTCAAAAAACATGATGACGTCACACACGTAATATTACTGCTATCTATGACTACGTTTTACGTATCCGGCTATTGTCACTAAATTGTAACGTCATATGAATGGTGACATAGATACTAGTTTCCATTGAACACTGTATTCACACACGCGCGCACCTAAATGCATATGGATAGACAGAATGATAAATAGACACACAGACATACCTCACTGTAACACAATGGGCAGAAATAGACAAATAAGGCACGAGATGTTCATGAATATCAAAAGCACGATTTACTGCATACATATCAGCACTACTTTAACAGCTACAAGGGGTGCCTAACATTCAAATAGATAAATAAAAACATGTAATTATTTTATGTGCTTGTTTTCTGTTTAACGCTGTACTCCGCAATATTCCAACTATCTGATGGCGGTCTCCACACATTAAAGTGTGGACCAGACAACCCGGTGATTGACACAATGAGCATCAATCAGCCCAATTAGCATACAATAACAAGTGTCAGACAGACCAATCGATTCCGTTGGTATACACTCTTATGAATAAACATGGGTTATTGAAGATGGCATCAATCAATCTATCAATACAATCAATCGTCAATGACTACCACAGCACAAAGTGGGCTTTTGATTAGGGCTGGGACGATTCATCGATGCATCGCGATACATTTAAGTTTGATACAGCTATCATATCGTCGACTGGTGTATCGATACAAAACGATACACAACTTTTTTTTTGCAAAACAGTATTTTCTTAAACATGTTACAGTACTTTTTGAGAGAAAAATACGCAAGTATGATGGAGTTACTTGTTTGTTTATTACAATAGTGTTATTGTTAAACACAAATACCTTGAAATAAATCATTTTAAATCTTGATACCGTGTCATTCTTTCAAGGTGTATGTACCGTGATACGTATCGTATCGCAGGTAAAATATCGCGATATGTATCGCATCGTGACATAGTGCATCGTCCCAGCCCTACCTTTGATGAATTTTGATCTAAATCTACAGGGTTTTATTAGAAATTGATATGCTAAGCAGTCAACACTGAAACTGCCAGATGGCTTTCCTCACATTATATTCAATGTATCCATACACTGCACTAGTCCATATGCAGTGGTCCATATGTCCTTTAACTGTCAGCGTAGCGTCCTGTTCTGTAGTTCTTCCACGCCTGCATCCTGTACAACACGTTCTGGGCACACGTCATCACCAGGGAGTGGTGCTTCTCCAGAGGTGCTACATTGATGTAAGGGTTTGCTGGATCCAGTACGACCGGATTCTTTCTGAAATACATTGAAACATTCAGTCTTTTATAAATGAACACCAGGAAGTGGTGCTTCTCCAGAGGAGCTACATTGATGTAAGGGTTGGCTGGAACCACTACGACCGGATTCTTTCTGAAATACATTGAAACATTGTGTCTGTTATAAATGATCACCAGGGAGTGGTGCTTCTCCAGAGGTGCTACATTGATGTAAGGGTTAGCTGGAACCACTACGACCAGATTCTTTCTGAAATACATTGAAACATTGTGTCTGTTATAAATGATCACCAGGGAGTGGTGCTTCTCCAGAGGAGCTACATTGATGTAAGGGTTGGCTGGATTCAGTACGACCAGATTCTTTCTGAAATACATTGAAACATTGTGTCTGTTATAAATGACCACCAGGGAGTGGTGCTTCTCGAGAGGTGCTACATTGATGTAAGGGTTGGCTGGAACCACTACGACCGGATTCTTTCTGAAATACATTGAGACATTGTGTCTGTTATAAATGATCACCAGGGAGTGGTGCTTCTCCAGAGGTGCTACATTGATATATGGGTTGGCTGGATCCAGTACGATCGGATTCTTTCTTAAATACATTCTTCAGTGATAGTCAGTTCTCAATGTTTGTATACACGATTATATTGTAAACATGATTATTAACATTAGGTAGGAAGTTTCAGTAGGAAAACCTCGCCCCCGGTTTTATGCACTCGATCCCAGCTACAAACCGTTTTAGAAACATGATTGTATGTGTGATTGAACTAGGATTGCATATGTTATATACATAACACATCCTTTAGTACAAATGAAACACATGTGTTGGTATATTTGAATCACACTCTTTAGTATATATAAAACACGTACGTTTTATATGTGAATCACATAACTAAAGTATCGTCTGTAAATATGTGAATCACACAAGTTGGTATATGTGATTTACACATGACTGTAAATAGGAAGCATGTCCTATATGTGAATCACATAAGTTTGTATATGTGATTTACACATGACTGTAAATATGAAGCATGTCCTATATGTGAATCACATAAGTTTGTATATGTGATTTACACATGACTGTAAATATGAAGCATGTCCTATATGTGAATCACATAAGTTTGTATATGTGATTTACACATGACTGTAAATATGAAGCATGTCCTATATGTAAATCACATAAGTTTGTATATGTGATTTACACATGACTGTAAATATGAAGCATGTCCTATATGTGAATCACATAAGTTTGTATATGTGATTTACACATGACTGTAAATAGGAAGCATGTCCTATATGTTATTTACACATGACTGTAAATATGAAGCATGTCCTATATGTAAATCACATAAGTTGGTACATGTGATTACACATGACTGTAAATATGAAGCATGTCCTTAAGAAGATCTGAGCAACGTACGTTTGTATGTATGAAACACATACGATAGTATACTGGTAAATGAAACACATACGTTTGTATACATGATAAACATACATTAGCATATGTGAATAGAATGCAGAAGATACTCACGGAAAGACCTCGTGAACGTTATAGTACAAAGACACTGTGTATTTGTCTGGCCATAGTATCCGCAGTGACGTCAGGTCGGCCAGCTGGGTCATTATCTCTTTGAACCAATCGTTGGTGTTAAAATCATCCGGGGATCTCCGATTTTTCCAAAAGGAGATGGCGACTAGTTCCAGAAAGTAAGACGTGACGGCTTTCTGTTCTCTGTTGATCTCAACCTATCAAGTACAAGCGACAAAACCATTTCCATAATCAGGAGGAATCACTGCTTAAAGCAGATGTCTACAGTATCATAGTCGCGAGTTTAAGAATCACAGTCAAAATGTACAATACCAGGTGCTTGCGAGAGATGATCTACGGGTGGTGAATCACAAACACACGCAAAACCAAGTAAATCGGGAAAGGCAAAATAATAGCAAACGAATCAGACAGGCAATAAGCATAATTTAGTGGAATGCCAAATGGCCAAGTCGTTTACCATGTTGATTGCGACTATGGTACGGCGCTGACGTTCCCAGGATCACAATCGGTGAGAATCTAGCATTCAGACCAGTATGTAATCTCGTTAAATTCTCCATAACATGACTTTTTGTGAAAAGATCTATTGCTGTTTATGTTATATTGTATATAATATATGTGATAATAGTTTCATTTCTACATTGAACGAACATCGAATGAAAAACATCAGGTTGTTTCTTTCATGTGAAGAATTTTTACATGGCGACCAAGAATTGAAAAATAATTTATGATATGAAGAGTTTATGACATGAAGACCAAAACCACCAAAACCTCGTGTATTGACGGCTTGAGCATGCTGCACATTTATTTACCTGATATACGATATTTAGATGGCGCTTTAGTCCGTTTATGGTAGGGAAAGATTTTAAACATCTGTTTGCATACATCATGGTTTTGTGGAAATTAATATTAAGAGATCTTAGCAAACACACATTTCATGGTTAATAGAAAATGTCACTGACCAGTCACTGATCAGTAGTTTAATCAGGAGATATGAACATATTTTACCTTTGCCCAATATTTCAGCAGTCTTATGAAATTCTTCACTTTGATAGGAACCTCCTTCACAAATGCCACCTGTTTCTGAGCAAAGCATACTGAATAGTAGGCCCTTTCCTTCGGAGTCTTAGATTTCATCTCCTCAAAGGCATTACGAGGCTGCTTAGCTGAAATGTACAATCATGAACAAACATGTGACATTTCATTAAAATGCCATTTAGAGTGATTATAGCGTTTGTTATACGACAGGAATATTTGTTACCTGAAAGTAATCGAGAGTAAACACGAACCTTCAAACACAAAACGTCGATGCAAAAAATACACAGTTTCAACGTCGAAAACCAATATTTTGGTAAAACATGTAGAAAACTTATTGCTCTGTACTTTCGTGGTTGATTCCTGATGCCTCCCTCATTCATCTATTCGACTACATAGAAACATACAGAAATACCTTCAAGGATGTTGAAGGCTGGTAGAATGTCAACATCGTGGACATGGCTGGATTTACCACAGCCCAGTTGGTACTGAATACCATGAGATGTATCCCGGATGTACTTCAGAGAGCCAGCAAATTGGCTCCACTGAGTATCAAGCGTCTCCTTCAGAGTGTCAAGTATGTACTTCATGCTGTCTTGGAGATGTTGAACTGAACTGACATCGTTGATGAAAACGACCATATCGACGTCAGACTTCCCTAGAACATTTGTGCTCTTTCCGAGTGACCCACCCTGTGAAGAACGATTCCATTTCGTGTAAAAGATAAGCCTCGTTGCATCAGCAGGTAACATACAAGCGACAAAACGCTGGAACATATGGTACAAGTCAGACGAAGGAACGAGACTAATTAAGTACATTGTAGATGGGCCGTTAAGTTCAAGTTAAAGAGTTGCCCAAGTTCACTTAACGTGTGTCAATAATATAATTTTACTTAGGTTCTTCCCATTGTAATCTATTATGTATTTTAGTGAATATATTACCAATACACTATTGTTTTTGCACATATATTAGTGTATATGTAGGATTATTTTTTTAAATACGGGAACATAATGTTCGAGTCAAAATAATGAATGACAACAGACATGCGCGCTAGTTTCTTTATGTCAGCGGTCTTTAACTAACTGGGTCCCGACCAGACAATACAGTGAGTGACATCATGAGTAGCGACCTATGCCACTGGGATATACGATGACATGCATTAACTGTTTCCATATGTCTCAGCACCTCATCCCCCTACGGATTTCTCACAGCACAGATGGGCTGCTGAAGACCAATTCTAACAAACATCTTCGCGGGAACACACCGGTAGAACATCGCCTACCTTAACCACCATTGAGACCCCGAAGTTTGTTTTATGCTGCAGGAAGTTGGTGACACGTTCCACAAGATGGTCGCACTCCCGGCGGTCGTCACTGCTGGGTTGTATAGTGTGCTGGATAAAGTGTTGCAGTGTCTCGCCCCTCGCCATTCCTTCAATGATTGGGGCAGGGCCACCACCTATGTAGTCCTTAAGGGCTTGGCTCCGAGTCACCACTGCTCTGGCACATTTCATTATCTTCTCACAGCAACGTTGATCGGGGACGACATTCTTGTGAGGGTTTGCAGGGTCCAAAACAACTGGTTTAGATCTAGGAAACATGAAGATTTTTCAGATCAGATCTTTAGGCCTTAGTGGCTTTCGGGACACCTATTATCAGTTACCACCTATTATCAGTTTACAAATATTTCCCGCCGTATTCACCAAAGATTGGGTGATCCACTTCTTTCTTTTTAAATGTAGATTAGTCGAGACACCTGGATTAATCGAGACACCGGGCTTCCATGTTATGGTATTTTGTACATTACGGGATCAACTACTGACTTCTCTAGACGCAATCACAAAACAACAAACATAACGAATACGTATTAGAGGATGAGTATATTCCGGTTTTAGCATTGAGTTAGACATCTCACAGTGTGGGACACCTCATATTGGCTTCAACGCTGGTGTCCACGTGGGAAATCGAGTCCGGGTATTCTTCGCGACGGGCGAACCCTGGAACCCTGCGCTACAAACTGACCCAACAGAAATGGAATTTGAGTGTACGTACGGCACGGTCCTATAGTTGCTTGCGGTATATTTGTCTTCCCATATAATGCTTAGAGATGTAAGGTCGGCCAGCTGGGTCATAATTTCTTCAAACCAGTCTGATATGTCGAAGTCATGTGGCTTTCCTGCTCGCTGCCATCTACAATGAGTATTATGTAAACATCATATCAAAATTTGACACATTAATGTTTACAATAAAACATTTCAAAGCACAATGTTCATTGAACTACTTCTCAATACAATGTGCTTGTGATTGTGAGAGGGTGGTGTGACGTGTTGTGGCGGTTGGTTTTAGGTGGACGGTTTGTGTGAGATTGTGTCTTGCTGGGTGCTGCTGTAGTTATTTGTGACTTGACTTGTGTCCGTGATTGCACTGCAGACAATATATATACAGATTGTTTGATTCCTGCACTTTCGTAATATTTTTTACAATTTAAAGTAACATTATAGGTCATATCTGTCAACTTTCGAGATACTTACAGTTTAGATAAATGAACTTACATACCTGTGCATCGCCATGACCTCTAGGAAATAGTACCAGTCTTCCGTTTTTACTTCCTCCTGTAACAATGACATACACACATGGTTACCACACATGGTTACCACATACAGTCATGTATAATGTCACTATAGTAATAATGTTAACAAATCCAAACATCTTCCCTAATTTGAGAAATCGGTTTGGAGACCATGGATATTAATTAGTTGGTACAATATGTATCCATACATTGGATGATTGGTCATGATAAACATTGTATTTACCTTCAGGGACAGAAAAGACAATATTTCCTAAAACACGATACATTTGTTGCAATACCAACGTATGACTTTATTACCTTCAGCCAATACTTGAGGATTCTAATGAGAGTGTGTACTTTGCTCGGCGCCTGTCTGATGTAGTCTATCTGTATCTCTGCCAGACACACCGCATAGAAGTCTTTGTCGGCATCGGGGAGGCCGCTCATGTCAATGTACACGTCGTGCACGTTCTTGTCTGTAGGATGCACATGACAAAAATATCGAATTATAACGTTAATTGTTATTTTATCTATTAAGTGAAGAAATATGTTTTCATATATCGAGATGAACATACACTCACGTGTGTCTGTGTGTGTGTGTGTGTGTGCGTGGGTGCGTGCAAATATCGTAAGCACATGTGACACATGTGGTCTCACCTTAGGCAAGTGAGTTTGTTCAAAATTGTCTCTGTTCACCCGGCAGGAAAATGGGTACCCGGTGGGAAAAAGTCATATGATTATAACCTTCTGGCGCCCAACAGGCAGCTTGGGTTATCCGGGGTAATAATGTGCTGTGCCATGATTGTTAGCGCTATGAGCATACCTAGTGTGGAGTTTGGCGCTATATAAATGGACACATTATTATTATTATTATACATGCACTGGAGTGTTCTAACACACTATGTGATAATACTTCAAGGTGTGTTTTTGTTAATCATATGTTTTAGATGAATCAGTATGCATCAACAACACAAGGACTAGCGTATTATTGATCATTTATAAAACACAAATACACTGAGGTTTTTCCCATTAGGTGTGCGTCTGTGAAGTTTTTTATTTAGACAAGAATTCAAACAGGAAAATTCTGTTCATATTTGTACACATGATCATAAAACCTCAGAAGTATGCCACACATGTCTGCATTGAAACGGAAATACAAATATACTACTTCGTAGATATTTCTCATGGATATGCCCTAAATAGGTAAGACGACACACGATGACAAAGAAGTTTGGGTCTCGAATAGGGAATTTAAGAAAGGCAAACGTTCCGATGAACAAACGCATAAATGTATACGTACATTTCAAGATGTCGTATGCAGGGAATACCTCAATGGTGTGTTGTTGGTCCAGATCATGACACCTCAGGTGCAACTTCATCGACTGAGGTGTATATTCAATGAACTGAATGACCCCATATCGCGGAACAAATTCAGAAGAATCCAGCTTTGCTCTTATACTTTTAACGATGCGTCTAGTTTTTGATTTCATGTCCTGCATGGAACTCAGATCATTGATGAACAAGAACAGATCCACATGTCCCGGAGTGGATGCAAATGTATCCTTGCACATGGGTCCTCCCTGAAACGACATTACACATCATGTGACAATATTTCCACTGAGAAAGGACTTTATACAATACACGACAGCACTAAATTACTAACCGGGTGGTCACAATATTAATTAAATGATTAAATGGTAACTATTCCATCTGCTTGTTAGAATGTCTGGGTCTAACAGAATATTTAGATCACCTCTGACTTAAGCTCAAAATAGACAGCCAACATGTACTTGTCAGATAGTATGCTGAGTTTTCCCCATAAACATTATTAGGAGAGCACATCTCAAGATCAGTCATTACATGACATATATCTGTGCACTTGTGAACTGATTTGGAAAACACTGACCTTGACGACCTTTGCCACTCTGATAGGTACGTTCTGCTTCAGAAACCGAATCACTCGCTCAATCATCTCGTCACACTTCTTGGTGTCAATTGAACCCCATTCTGTCATGAACTGTGGAATAGTCTGTCCACGCTTCATTCCACTCAGAAGAGGATCCGGACCAGGTGGGTGTGACGTCATTCTGGAATATTCACTCTCGAACATGTACAATAAAATATAAGAAAACGTTGTTGAGAGTCATCAACATGGCGGCAAACTCTTAGCTCGTCAAATTATCATCAACCCATTATGTATAAAATGATATCAACAATATAGATTTTAATTCAATCCCTGTTTTACTTCTATCACCATGTTCTAACACTACGCAGGTACCGCCCATGCATACTGAATTTGATATAAAGTTAGTTACCCGTCTAAACTAGAAATAAAGATGACCAGTGAGAACGCTTCGATTCAGACTGACAAAAACCTTTCCACAAGAACCTGACAAAGGGGATGACGTAAGAGTAAAGGTTTTCTCGAGCACCTACTGGCATTACTGTTTGATTGTTATTCATAAACACAGGCTCATGATAAGACGAAATCGAACAACCAATTTGGGTTCCTAATTCAATCGTAGAGTTTCAACAGAAATTGGAACATAAAGTACTGGGTCCCGTCCTCAAAGCATTCGTACCCGTGATGATCCGGGTTAGAATTGGTCTTCAGTAACCCATGCTTGTCGCAAAAGACGACTGACGGAATCGGGTGGTCAGGCCCGCTGACTTGGTTGACAAATGTCATCGGTTCCCACTTGCGTAGATCGATGCTCATGCCACAGATCACCGGATTGTCTGGTACAGACTCGATTATTTACAGACCGCCGCCATATAGCTGGAATATTGCTGAGAGCGGCGTAAAACTAAACTCAGTCAAACTCAAGGCATTCGTAACGTTACGACCTGTCTTAACTCTATTAGTTTATCACAGCCTTACAAATGTCGTAATGCTACGAACGCTTTGGAGATCGCAACCACACTTTAATGGAAGGATAAAGCACCACTCCCAGGCGATAGTCGATAAAGAGAGACTAAGACAAGATGGTATCGGCAAGGTAAGACCGAGAAACGAAGAGGTTTTATCTTGTCGACACCCTCTGAAATCTGTGACACTGTCAGCACCAAGAGAATACAAGTCCGTTGTATTGAATTTCTACTGATATGTCATCTCAATAGGGAATGAGCGAGATAATTTATTTCAGTAATAAGGCCATGAATCCAAGATACATTCATTACAAGTATGAATACCATAGGCCCAAAATACATTCACTATAATATGCATGTAGCATGTGAATAGTCCCCCGAATCTTTTGGTAATGAAATTTTTAATATCGAATAGTATATAATTCATCTGTTGTTTTCCTTAACTCTTGAACTTTATTTAGATAATAGCAAATGTTATACAATATATCGTAATATGTTGATGACATTACCAAACATGTACAAAGTGGTGTACAGACTGATACTGATATCTCGTCTGATACGCGAAGCATCTACTGAATTGTTTCGGTTTTAAGATATTTTCTCTTAGTATACTGTAACATTTTACATATATACTACCGTCCAAAAGAAAGTATACAAAATATCTTTGCAAATTAAAATCTTAATTTTGAACCCATATCCAGGAATATTTACAGAAATATGTGACAAGGTAATGGCTACCTCTTTGTAATGACAAATTTCTCGTCTCGCGAACTGTCTCGCTCAAATGCTCATTTTCTGAAGAAGTAATATGCTCGTGCTCCACAATATGCACCTGCACAAAATTGTATAAGCAACTGATGACACAAGGCATTGTCACAGAATAAAAAAGCACACAAGAAAAATGCCATGCCTCAGCGCAGTAAAAAGAGAGAGAGCCGTAGGAATGGCCCAACAAGGAGCGTCACATGCCCTCATCGAGAGAACCTTCGGCTGCACCCGGGCATGCATCACTGGGTTGTTTCAGCGTCTCCGCCAGACAGGGCAGACAGTAGACAGGCCGAGAAGTGGGAGACTGAGGGTGACCACGCCCCAGGAGGACCGCTACATCCGGGTGATCCACCTCAGGAACCCAGCAACAGCAACGGCACTCGGACATCGTATCAGTCGACAGACAGTATCACGACGACTGCGTGAACATGGTTTTCGAGCTCGAACGTCCATACCGTAGGGTGGTACTGACACAACAACACGTAACAGGCTCCAGTGGGCAAAGACAAGTTCGACGTTGGCAAGTCCGAAACTGGTCACGTATCCTCTTTTCGGATGAGAGCAGGTTCTGCGTATTCACAGCTGATGGCCGTTAACGTGTCTACGGACTTATTAGAGAACGTTTAGCTCCTACCTGCATCCAGGAAGTTCCGGCGTATGGTGGAGGTGGTATTATGGTGGGGGGAGGAATATGTGGTGAACTGAAAACAAGGCTAGTCATCATTCGTGGCAACCGTACCACACAAAGTTACAGGCATGACATTCGGCGACCGGTAGTCCTTCCATTCATTCACCAACAGCCACGTGGCATTGTCTTCCAACATGATAATACAAGACCTCATACCGCCAGACTGACAAGAACAACATGGACGTCCACGTCTTACCATGGCCAGCGTGTTCACCAGACATGAACCCTATCGAGCATTTGTGGGACCACCTCGACAGGCAGATTAGGAACAGACCAGTACCCCCCAGTCAACGTGCGACAGCTGGAACAGTGCCTGAATGACGCTTGGCAACAGATTCCACGCAACGTCATTAGACGCTTGACGTCATCCATGCGCTGACGTTTTGTTGCTTGTGTCAATGTTCAAGGAGAACATACTCGCTACTGAGGCAGTACATGGCTCTAAATTGTGTACCGGGCATGGTGAACTGTTTCCCAATGAGTGTATTCGTGAAAGAGACTCGTGGGGTGGTCCAAGCATCATAGTGTGGGGTGCAGTCGGTCTAGTTGCACCATGTTCCAGAATCTTGGTCTAGGATGAGGAAATGACGCGGCAGCTGCTCGCTATATTGATTAAGTCATAAGACTCCACGTTGTACCACATTTTTTGACGTTACAGAAATCGTATCTTCCAGCAAGACAACGGTCGTGCCCACACTGCCAGAGCTACATTGTACTTCCTAAGACAACATGGCATCCAAACCCTACAATAGCCTACACCCGTTTTGGTGATTTTGTTTGTGTAAACGGTAAATGTGATTCCCGAAAATGTGTTAACCATAATTGTCAAGTTTGAACTCAGTACTCCGGTTTTAGAGTTAATTAGAGTTAATTAAAGCGTGTGCTTTAAGAAACAGCTATCGGTGCGACATTTCTTTTGTGGTTCAGTATATATTATGCATGAAATTCATCTTTAGTTTGTCAACTGAATAAAAGTATATTAACTGGAATTTATACATTCCCAGGGATAATCTGCATATCATGTTTCACTGCCTAAATCACACTCAGTTTATAAAAGAAAGAATGCAGCCAAGTTACTAATTTTTAGGATTTTATAACCGCTTCTTATCGGGTTTGAGAACTATTCATACCATTCACTCACTGAATAGAGGAACAACTGATACTGCTTTGTCGCAAGCAAGGGTTGGGGCTAGGCAAAATGAAAAGAGTTCGTCCATGTTAGTTACGTAAGGAGAATATAATGTAGTTTTGATTTTTTATTCATCGTTATATTTCATCTATATACAACATCCAATGAGTAAAAGATAATTTATATAATTAAAATGAGAACGAAAGAAAACATTATTTTTTATTGATGGCAAACTATTCAAAAGACCACTCCACTTTATAGTGTATGAGATCTACGCCCTTTGACAGTGATACGCATCATTTTTGGCTTTCAGGGTGCTCCTCCCACCCTTTTTTAAATGATCATTGAAACTCTCTTTCCTCCCCCAGCCCTACCCCCACACCCCTCACCCCCACCCCTCCGACGATCAAATGTTTGCCAGTACCGGCAATTTTGTTGCCTGTCAACTACGCTTTGTACTGATAATGCTCAAAGTTTAATTTTCGTGATCGTGAGGTAATCAAACGCTAGTGAACATGATGTGCTTGGCAGGAACTGATAACTCAATATTCAATCAACAATGGTCGTCTTAAATGTAACGATAAATTAATGAAAAACTACAACTCACGCTTGTACAAGTAATGCGATGGCACAGGCGCTTCTTTGGTGACAGACCTCTGCGTCGAGACGACCCAGCTTTGTATCTGTTACACAACTGATTGCAACTGGTTTCCCCGAACCATTCTACTTTCGCTTTCCAAGAAAATGTATTTTATGCTTGATGATGTCAGTGTGTCTTTCATGGCACGTGTGTTATGTAGTCAGTGCTATTTGTGTACAGCAATGATCAACAAACGTGCTGACGTCACTTGATGATAGTTTACAATGGGTGGTGATGTCATGAACCGTTAAGTATTCTCCTTGAGTCCTAGAATGTGCGGTAATATCTGGCCACCTATACCCGTGATGAACCAGGGCTAAGGGACCGTTCATAGTTTATCGCTGGAGGATGGGGTTGGGTGGGGGTGTTGAGATAAATTTAAGGGAGGGTCAACCATTTTGTTTTGGGGAGGCCGGGGTCCTCAGTTCTTCTTACATATATGTTTTCTTTGTTTTGTGTGTTTTGTTGTGTGTGTTTTCTTTGTTTTGTTTTTATTATTGTTGTTTTCTTTTCTTTTCTTTGGGGAGGGGTACTTTGTTTGTTTGTGTTTATGTTTGGGGTTTTGTTGTTGTTTTCTTTTTGCCTTTTTTTTTTTTTTTTTTTGGTGTGGGGGTTTTGGGGGGGGGAAGTCATTCACATTGTACATGCTTCCCCATAGAAATCACACACACACACACACACACACACACACACACACACACACACACACACACACACACACACACACCACACCACCACCTCCACCCCACCCTTGCCACAAATTATGAACGGTCCCTTACCACAGACATTTGTAGTGTTGTGATATTTTGAGGGTTGATGTGAGTTGTGATGTGAATGTATGTGAATGGTGAGGTATGATTTGCGTGCTTGCGTGTGTAGGAGGAAGAGTGTGGGTGTGTTTGGTGATGCGAGAATGAAGTTGGGAATGCAAGTCTCTATGAACTATTGTAAGTAAGGTAGATTTAGTAAATAAATTATATTAACTTTTAAATTTGGGGTTTGTGTTTACTCTAGTATTTGACAACCACTTTCGATGGCTTTACAACATAATCACTTGAATTCATTTCACGTATTTTGCATTTTTAGGGTAAAGAAGGTTATGTAGCCGTTGTGTCAAGATTTTAGCTTCTGTTAAAACATACAAACTGAGGTATTAGCAAACACTATAACTGTACGCATCGATGGTAGTTGCTCATGTATACAAATCAACTGTACGGGTTGTTGAAAAGGTACTGTACGGGTAGTTGGTTTCCTGTTATTTATCAGCTGAGGTAGGACCTTGGTTTGAAGCATGCAGCTGTGTATTAAATGACATATTTGGTCCTATGTTTCACTTTTCCATCTACACAAACGTTTAAAGCGAGTGAGTTAAAATTTTAAGTCACATCGGAAATATTTCAGCCATATCGTGACTAAATCAAGTTATAGTTTTATAATAATTAAAGCGTAAATATAATGTTGCCAAAAAATTACAAACACGGCTATGCTGAAAACACTCCAGACACAGCACACACAATGCCTCAAACACAACTGAAATGCAGCACTAAATATTGGCTTTGGACTGGCAGATATTCTTGGTCAAACAAGTCAAAGCAACCCGAATTCCCACTTTAAATTGCGGTAATATTGGCTTTCTAGATGGTGCTAACCTTAACAATTGCACTATTAACGTTGTTGATGGACCAAAACCGAACACTGACATGGTTGGCATGTTGCAGGCTATGGTCTTGTCAAAGGCCAAGGTCGAATATCGTCACTTTCTGTTGTGACGTCACTTGAATTGTTCGATGACGTAATTGCATTCGGGCAGTCAACCCCGTCAGAAGTTGGTTTTAAGTAAATTTACAGTCAAATTCCTTCATTGTTTCCTTTTTCTTTCAACACAAATTCCATGTATATTAGCAATAATAAGGGTAATGCTATTTTTGAGGGCATTATCATTTGCAGAAGCCCTCGGTCTTCAAAAGTTCATGGAAGACCGCAGGCTCCTGCAAATGATAATGCCCTCAAAAATAGCTTAACCCTTATAACAGTATCATTTTGAACCACAATCAAACATGAATGTTTACTTTTCTGTGCAGTTAATTGAGGCTGGATAAGAAGATCGATAGACGGAAATATCGTCGACGGGAAAAATTATTAATGATTGTCGATATGAAACTGGTCGATAATAACGTACTTACACTATCGTGATGTAACAAAGTTTTGTTTTACTCAGACACAACAAAAAGGTAGGCTTTTATCCATCGGCTACTTCTAAATTATGTTTAAGATGGTGTTCTGTTAGTAATCCAAGCCTAAATATCTCACCACTCACAGTGATGTGAAATATTTGGATTTTTCAGATTATTTTGGTCTATTTGTTCAAAGTTACTTCTATATTACTCGATAAGCGATCCATATTCAGTTAAGATCTATTTCGATAGCTAGCCATGCGGTTTATGTGCTCCATTAGTAAATGCTTGTGGTCGTTAGGTCAGCCTCTGTGACTAATCAACATCATGGAGGGTTACTCATTATATCGACCACTAGTTTGTCCAACCCAGTTTATAATACAAATCAATGGGATATAACTTGAATATATCTTACTACCTAAAATAACAATCACACAAACAAGATCTTCTTGATTGGTTCGAATCCCTGACTAAGCCCGATAGACATCACAACTATAGTATGGCAGACTAAAATAACTAAAACAGATTACTTTAATCATTGTCGCCATTTTTATTATGATCTTGTCAACAAGTAGTTCATAGTGCAGTGACATTTTGCAATGGGAAACGAAAGAGACTGAAAGGTGATCCAAAATTGCAAACAAATCTGTACATAATTATGAGACAAAATACCTCTGCATTATCAGATAGCACTGCACGATTGCTGCCAGAGCATGAATATGTGGTTATGTGTCCCTGTCTTATAATAATGAGATCAGGAGTTCGTGTACTGTTGGGCCTACCCTGCTCTACCGACCAGTGATAGCGGTCACAAACACATGCAAAGGCAAGACAATTATTCAACTAAAACACAGGAGCACATGGTGTTTATGTTTTGAAACATCACAACAAAACGCACCATCCGTTAAATACCCGTATTTAACAGCATGATTTTCAATTTCAACACATACACACGCATGCACGTCGTCATATGAGCGAAATATTCTCAAGCACGACGTTAAACCCAATTCCACCTCACCTGTTTTGTAACTAATTAATTAAATAATTTAAAGTTTGATTTGCATGCTAATTCTCACTTTAATATTAAATTGAGTTTTACATGTGGACAGTGTCTTGTGTGGTATACTTATATGATGACACTGCCTTGTAATGGTTGTGTGTGTCAGTCAGCATACTGTGGTGTAGTATTACAGTATCATATCATCTAGTGCATATCGCGTCATAATCTATTCTGGGCTTCCTGGAAAAGGTGTTTGCTTTCGTTTTCTTGGAAACCATTTGTGAATGCTTCAACCTCGGTGATTTTTCTCCCCGTTTGTTCTGTACATGTATTGAAAACATTCAACGTGTCGAATGAATGCAAAGTCCCAAAGTTGTATAGCTATAAACACTTATAGCTCGGCGGTATCTCTACCTGTGGAATGCTCTCGCTGTGCTAGTCAGCCCCACATAACAGTTGCCATTTTGCTCAGTCGTGATTAACAACAACATACGCCCGAGGAGTGAGCAGATATGCTCTTTTCGGCATGGGGGAATGAGCGCAGTATATGCTGTAGTGTGTTTTGCATTCCTTTTCAAGCTACCTTTTCAATTTCAAATATTTTCATAATTCTTAGTAGTTTCAAAATAGACAATCTTCTATAATCCCACCTTGATATATATAGTCAGTGACAGTGACGTGAAAGGTTTACTTACAAGTTGGAGGTTTCATGTAGAGTACACTTACAATTTCATATACTTGGATGTTGACAGTGAATTTTGTGATATACATGCATGTTAACAGTGTCCACTAGGATATACATGTACATGCCTGTTAACAGTGTCCTGTAGAATATACATGCATGTTAACGGTGTTCTGTAGGATATACATGCATGTTAACAGTGTCCTGTAGCATATACATCCATGTTAACAGTATTCTGTAGGATATATCAACATACTGACAGTGTCCTGTAGGATATGCATGCAGGTTAACAGTGTCCTGTAGGATATACATGCATGTTAACAGTGTCCTGTAGAATATACATGCATGTTAACAGTGTGCTGTAGGATATACATGCATGTTAACAGTGTCCTCTAGGATATACGTACACACTGACAGTGTCCTGTAGGATATACCAATATACTGACAGTGTCCTGTAGGTTATACATACATGTTTACAGTATCCTGTAGGATATACACATATGTTGACAGTGTCCTCTAGGATACACATGCATGTTAACAGTGTGCTGTAGGATATACATGCATGTTAACAGTGTCCTCTAGGATATACGTACACACTGACAGTGTCCTGTAGGATATACCAATATACTGACAGTGTCCTGTAGGTTATACATACATGTTTACAGTATCCTGTAGGATATACACATATGTTGACAGTGTCCTCTAGGATACACATGCATGTTAACAGTGTGCTGTAGGATATACATGCATGTTAACAGTGTCCTCTCGGATATACTTACACACTGACAGTGTTCTGTAGGATATATCAACATACTGACAGTGTCCTGTAGGATATACTTGCATGTTAACAGTGTTCTGCAGGATATACATGCATGTTAACAGTGTCATGTAGGATATGCATGCATGTTAACAATATCCTGTAGGATATACATGCATGTTAACAGTGTCCTGTAGAATATACATGCATGCTAACAGTGTCCTGTAGCATATACATCCATGTTAACAGTGTTCTGTAGGATATATCAACATACTGACAGTGTTCTGTAGAATATACATGCATGTTAACAGTGTCATGTAGGATATACATGCATGTTAACAGTGTGCTGTAGGATATACATGCATGTTAACAGTGTCCTCTCGGATATACTTACACACTGACAGTGTTCTGTAGGATATATCAACATACTGACAGTGTCCTGTAGGATATACATGCATGTTAACAGTGTCCTGTAGAATATACATGCATGTTAACAGTGTCCTCTAGGATATACTTACACACTGACAGTGTTCTGTAGGATTGATCAACATATTGACAGTGTCCTGTAGGATACAGCTACAGTATCAAGTAGAATATACTTGCATGTTGACACTGTCCTGAAGGAAATACATGCATGTTGAAAGTGTTGTGTAGAATATGACAGTTTCTTTAGCATATACTCACAGTGACAGTGGCGTTTAAAAATATACATACATGTTGATAATGGCCTATAGAATATACTCACGTGTGTATAGTGTCCCGTAGAATATACTCACATGTTAATAGTGTCCTGTAGAACATACTCACATGTTGACTATGTCCTATAGAATATACTTAGTTGATGACTATCTACTGTAGAATTTACTTACATGCTGAGAGTGTCCTGTAAAATATTCTTAATTGTTGACAGTGTCAGGGAGGATATATTATGGCGGAATGGTACACTGCGTTTGATGGCTAATATAATATGTCAATACTATCTTATCGGTATGGCCTTTCCTAGAAATTGCGTTTCCGCAATTTGCGTGTCATGGCGACCTGGGTCAAAATCAGATCGATGTTTTTGATGGCTGATTAAAATCCTCGCGATGCATCATAATCACGGTAATTACATATAAGCATTTGCTGTGTACTTAAGTTTGTAATTACTTTATACAATTAATTGTATATACCTATTTACCTAAGTACATTTTCAGATTGTTCTAGCAAGGGCAAAGTTTGGTTGTTTAGTTTACGGATTCAAATAAATCAAATGTGTGTTTTTAATATCATATGTAATAGACATCATATTTATACATGACATGGTTAAATATCGTGGTAAAGAAAACACATAAATAAGATCAAATTGGATCAGTCACTATGCCATCCAGACAGTAGAAAATCCGAAAAGCCTACATTGCTGGGATACTTTATTGCAATCAGACAAGAACTACCGGGGATATTTTCAAATAACGGCATCTGATGTCCCGCTGTTTAGGTTGAAGAAATCTTGCCAAGGTGTACAGTAGCCCAGGCCCCATGCCCGTCACGGTCGCGGGAGCAGGTACTGACCAGCTTGAATCAGTGCCCCTTTAATTATAATTGCAGCTTAATACGTAAACATTTCGCTTGTGGCTGAGTGACTCAAAACAAATAGATCAGGCTCTGAACTGATATATGTTTTGTAAAATTTGTATACGCTAAACACGTCGCTAACAGCGTCTTGAAAGCATGTAAATGAACACTCCAAAGAAAGCAAATGTATCTTTATGACAATATTTATTTCCAAGGAGCTGCAAAATAATGAACGGTATTATCAATAGCCAACTCAAAATGTTAACATACTTCCTGATAATTCTAAGCAGTTAGCAAAATCGAACATATTGCATTATAAAGTCTCGGAATACCTGTTTTGAAATTATAATTATAAATATCATGCAATTGTTGATTGGCTAATATGTTTGCAGAAGTTATCAATCAGCAGTTGAATAATATTTCATTATATGTGGTATTTATAGGTAATTATTTTATAAAGATCATTTTACCGTAATTTTGTTTTTGTACCATACATGATGGCACTGAACTAGCACAAATCATCACTTGATATTTGATATCATAGAGAACATATTTAATAGATATCAACCATGGATACAAGGTAGATCAGATAAGAACTAATATCTATTATTTATTTAGATCACCGTATTCCTCAACTGCAAAAATGATATTTGAAACTATTATGTTTCTTTCCTCAAGATAATAATACTGAACAGTTGGAGTCACGCTGCAAGATTGTAACCTCTTCTCTGAATGCCTGTAAGTTCCCCTGTGTTTCTGGTGAACAACTGACTTGGCCTTGCATGTGTTTGTGTCTGAAGCCAGCAGAGGGACATGGTAGTATTTACTCATGGTGACATCACTATTTGATCGTAATTCTGGGATACAGCACAAATATTCGTAAACATATCAAGAACCGTCAGTGAAATTCCTTAGAATTTTCGGGTCAATTTAGAAATTGTTGAGATTCGTCATTCACCATGCAGTAAATTGCTCTGTTTCAAATTAACGCCAATTTTTACTAGTTCTGAATGAGTGGGTTTAGTTTTACGTGGCGTATAACAACACTCCAGCAATATCACGGCGGGTGGCACCAGAAATGGGTTTCACACATTGTACCCATGTGGACAATAGAACCCGGGTCTTCGGCGTGACGAGCGAATGCTTTAACCACAGGGCTACCCTACAGGCCCTCTCTATTTCTGAGATGCCTCTAATCTGTGCAGGACATCCTGGGCACAGGTCATTACAAGGGAGTAATATTTCTCCGAAGGTGTTTGGTTGCTGAATGGGTTTGCTGGATCTTTCTGAAACATCTAAGAGACAGAATATTGTTTCTGTGGTATAAATGCTTCAACACCAAATCTAAAAGTTCGATACACTTCTTTGAACCTAAATTTTATAACAAAAAAATATCACGATATTATTTGAAATATTTGTTTTGTAACATCTGATGCGAAGTCACTTTTCCAGTATTTTCCATATTTCAGAAACATGTGGAAGAATATATAATGATCGAAGCTAAATTCATAGAAGATGCCACGTACGTCTCGCGAATGTCATAGTACAAGGTCACGTCGAATCATACCAATAATAGACCCGTGAAGGTCCGGGTTAGAATATTGATCTTCAGTGACGTGAGGTGAGGTGAAATTGGGTTTTACGTCGTGCTTGAGAATATTTCGCTGTGACGACGTGCATGCATGTGTATGTGTATGTGCGGCTGCTTGTACTAGCCCAGACTTAAGCTGGTTTTATAGTGCTAGCCCACTGAGATACCATGCCGCAGTGAAGCATGAATACCCAACTCAGACACATTATACTGACTCCGAGCCGACCAGTCCTTGTTGTACCCATTAATGCCGAGCGCCAGGCAGGGACCAACAAGGACCACATTTTAACGTCTTTTTGGTATGACGCGGTCGGGGATCGAACCCGCGACCTTCCGCTCTCCGGGCGGACGCTCTAACCACTACACCACGGAGGCGGTCTTGATCTTCAGTAACCCATGCTTGTCGTAAGAGGCGACTATCGGGTTCGGGTGGTCAGGCTCTCTGACTTGGTTGACACATGTCATCGGTTCCCAATTGCGCAGATCGATGCTCATGCTGTTGATCACTGGATTGTCTGGTCCAGACTCGATTATTTACAGACCGCCGCCATATAGCTGGAATATTGCTGAGTGCGGCGTAAAACTAAACTCACTCACTCACTCATTGATGTGGAAACACATAGCCACATTCAGTAAACTTAGTGCTAACAGTGATTGTTCCGATGCCTTTGGAACAATGCCTCCAAATGAGATGCCGAACAATACAAAAATACAAAATATTGTCAGTTCAGCACATTTTATTCAATTTCATTTGTATATATGTATGGCATTATATCTATATATTATTTAATGAGGTATTCCGTTACAGCATGTCTGTCCCAATGTAGATACTGATGAATTTCTATCAGTTGTCTCATGGAAACACCAGAATGAATCACGTGCAAAGCAAATAGATCTACTTCTGTTCATCGTTGGTTTTTTACTTGAAATGAATATAAATGGCATCACGCGAAATATTTCTCTTCTATTCAGATGTTAAAAGTTAAAATAATCCCATCTCAATGACTTTCCAACCTTATAACCTAAGGTAGAAAACTCATTTTCGTATTTTGAGAACAATCTAAACGCAATGCAGCATGCACGCTGTGATGGAAATGGGTTTAACGATAGTACACGTTTTATCAGAAAACATCTTTTCTTTCTGAATACAATAGAAATTTTAAACTCTCATTTTACGTTTGGTTTCTTAGTTTGTTCACAGCATATGGTACAGTTTTAGAATACATAAAGATTAAAGCTGATATAATTGGATGTCGTGGTACAGCTGATTAACTTGTCTGTGTATTGTGTTTCATCTTATAGCTGAATCTTATCCGTGTGGGGCTGGCCAGCCTGGTCTTTGCCACCAATAACGTCTTCAATCCAATCTTTCAGAAGAGACACTCGAGTGTAGATTCCATAAAGGTTTTCCCTGGCACAGCCGTGACCGTGAGAGACGATACCGCTCACGACCTCGGCGACATCGCACACACACACCAGAGGCCCTCCGGAATCCCCCTGAAGTAAACAACATGTGCTTGTTTTTCATGCAAACTAGTATTTGGTTATTATTCAGAAAAATAAATTCGAAATTTACAAAGAAGCAATGGAATTTTCCATCTGCACTTTTCAAAATTAACAGCCTTTCGCTCTATTTTGGATGAGCTGTTTCAATTTAGCAGAAAACTTACGAGAGCAAACATGGTCATTGACAGAAACAATAGAGAGTAACTCATTCTCTGGTATGGTATGACAAGAACGTTCCTATGGACATCATCTTTTTTACCAAATTCTGAACATGGGTCGGTCGGTCGGGAAAAAAACCAAAACAAAAATCTTAATAAAGACAAAATTACCTGAATAATGTTCTTGATTTTCATATATAGTAATTCTTATTACAATTTCTCGCGTTCTTTGAACTTGTGGCAGCGACTGATTCAAAGATAATCCTTTTTTTTTGATATGACGAGACGGTACGTTTTAGGTTCGAGTCGGCGATGTTGGAATGAAAACATAATTGGGGTGGGTGGGGGAAGGGGTGTTCGGCAATAATATTAGAAGGGTCGGGCGGGCGTTGAGGAACACAAAAAATATAAATTCTGCCCTATTTGAATGTGTCAACGCCAGCCCCAGTGAGCGTGCCCCGGGAAGACTCCTGGTGCTAAGCAATAGGACTGCAACGATTCGGTTCGATTCATCGAAAATCGGATCTGACACCTTTAGTTTCGATAACCATTATCGCTATTTCGATTCGATATTTGAATACCTATTTAAATTAACTCCACACAGACAGAACGTAATGTTGACTCCAACCATCCTGGTTCCCGGACATCCTGGTTCCCGGGCCTCTCATTAGTTAATGAGAGGCCCGGGAACCAGGATGGACTCCAACTCGAGCAGTTTCGAGCGCTGAAATAAGGCGAAACGTGATTGGTTGAGGCTGGACTAATTATCCAATGAGAATTATTGTTAGTTGATATCGCCACGTTGACGATGGATTTAACGCTTAAAATGAAACTAACTCTGAGAGGTAAATGAAATCTGATGTTTTTACTTGTATAAAGAATCGAATCAAAAATCGAATCAAATCGAGGTCTGGGTGAATCGTTGTATACGTAAGAAGCATACGTAAAAGAAAATAGAGCTACCTCGTTGAAATTGATACATACAACACGTTACGTTAAAGTCGCCCGGAGACAGACACAGATGCGCTCATACTTCTACTATTAAACGTCAATGCCAGACAGCAGCCAGGTTCGGTTATAAGGCCAAACAGATGAACACTATGAATGAAATCACACACTGATGGACGTCACCATGTGCTCGACCGTGCATATATACTTACAGAACAAGCGTCCACCTCTCCCTCCACGTGGCCGGCACACACCAGGCTGTCGTCGATGGCGATGGTGCGGTTTTCCACGTTCTCTGGCTTCATCGCCTCCTTGCAAGTCTGTGTGTCCACAACCGGTATCTCTGCCACCACCGGGATATACATCCCGTAGCCATAGGGTGCTGAGATACAGAAATAGAGTGAGTGAGTGAGTTTAGTTTTATGCCGGCTTAGCAACATTCCAGCAATATCACGTCGGGGAACACCAGAAATGGGCTTCAGACATGGTACCATGTCGGGAATCGAACCCAGCTCTTCAGCTTAACGAGCGAACGCTTTAACCACTCGGCTATCCCACCTTAGTGTAAGACTCTACCGAACGTGCTGCAAGCGTTTACGAAATACACTTCTTCGGTGAAAGTACGCACTTCCTTCCTTTCACTTCCGTCCTGATCGCCGACAGATGAATGTGAGTTTCTGTTTTTGCCCACGTTTGTGTAATACATCGTATGTTATCGCATTTCATTTCTAAACCAACAACATAAACCATACAAACCTATATAGTGAAACACCATCGAGTCGAAGATGAAGGGACACAGTAAATACTCTACGTTATTCGAGGTTCGACCCAACCAATAAGAACTTAATCATAATTACGCAGGGACTAAGCTTTTACTTCGAGACAAGCGTACGCTCGACACATCAAAGTTCGTATTCTAAAGGATGGACGATATTTTATGTCAAACGGAAGTATTTCATCTCAACACATAATTTTGTAACGTTGGCTTCGGCGTCAACATAGTCCCTTTCCATGCGCTTCATTAGTACACATGGGGTCAGGCCCATGCTCGCCCTAAGTCACTTCGCCATATCCTCACAACATAACAAACAGCTCTTGCCACGCCGTATGTGGTGTCTCTCAGATCCATCGTACTTCCAAGTGCCGACTACCCCTACCCAACAATCAGATCCTGCCACGACAAATGTCGTCATCAACGTCATCCTATTGATATACTCACCCTCAGTTACTTGTCCCCACCCCACGACATAACAATCAGCTCCTGCCACGGCGCACGAGGGGTCGGTATCCGGCTTGATGACGGAAACATCTTCCCTGGATAAATCCACGGGTTCGTTCAGCTTCAACAAGGCAGCGTCTCCGAGGAGCTTTTTAACTGCAAGAAAAATACGAGTATTTTGTGTGTGTGCGCGTGTGTGTGTTTTTTCAAAGTCAGTTAATCTTTATCCACAAGGAACCTAGTTCATGGGCAAACAATGTTTCACGCACAGTGAGTTATTAATAATCATGAGAATTTAGTTTGATTACTGTTCGACTGATCCCATATATTTCCACTGATCGTTCATCTACAGCGATAATGCGACTGTTCACAGCTTGTCTACCTACTAATTAATCCATGCTATCATTTCATTGATACCCACTGTTCCAGCCGCTGTACTTATGAACTTCCGTGATGGTGCGGAACTGGTCGGAGTCTTCGTCGGCCACCTGATTGAATTTTCCGGCAACTACCTTCCACGACTCCTTCACGTCAATACCCGGCAACACCCGAGCACTGTGTAGGGAGAGAAAACCAGTTTGCGTTACACAACAGACTATTTTCGACAACTACTTCACATCATGACCCGGTACACCCGAGCACTGTGAAGGGAGACAAAACCAGTTTTGCGTTACACAACATACTATTTTCCACAACTACTTCTCATCATAACCCGGTCTGACTCGAGCTCTGTGTTGGGAGACAAAACCAGTTTTGCGTTACATAACAGACTATTATCCACAACTACTTCACATCATGACCCGGTATCACCCGAGCACTGTGTCGGGAGACAAAACCAGTTTTGCGTTACATAACAGACTAATTTCCACAACTACTTCTCATCATGGCCTGGTATCACCCGAGCACTGTGTTGGGAGACAAAACACATTACAGCGTCACACTACAGACTGTATACCATTTAGACGATAACTAACGAGGGGCGGGGAATGACAGATTATCCTTATCGAGTTATATTAATTACGTAATTTTCGAGCCTTGGCGAGAGAATTACATAATTAAAATAACGAAGGAAAGATAATCTGCCATTCCCCTGTCACGATTATTGTTGGTTATTGTTTTTATTACCATATCCGTTTTCGATCGAAAAAACGCTAAAATAAATACAGGAAATAAGAAAATCCGCGATGTGGGGAATCCCTGTATACCTACGCGTTGTGCGGCTTCATTTCTAAGGATTCCATCGCATTACCACAATCTTAAACGGGTGTATTACGCGAGACTAAATAGTCTAAAACAGTGAATGAACTGAAAAGATGAATGAAGTAGTTCCGGCATATTGTTTTAACCAATGAAATCGTTTATTTTCTGAAACAGTCAATCAAAGTTCACCAAAAGGTGTAACCTCCCTAGGGACTTACATGAAAAATACCACCCTGTGTCCTCTTTCCCATATGGATAATACATTCACATCAATACCCGGCTACACTGTGGCGTCATCAGTCATCTGGATTGTCTGGTCCAGATTCGATTGTTTACCGACCACGTCGTAAAGTTGTAATACGACTGAATGTGGCGTAAAACAAACACAGATACAAGACAGTCAGATTGTACAATACTCAGCTTCTAGCAGATAATTCTTATGGAAGTGATAGGAGTTATGTCGTATTTTGTGGGTTAGCTAGCTATATTTAGGTGAATATTTGACTTACCTTTGCACGTGTTTGTGATCACAATATGATAGTGATACTCATAAATGCATGATAGGATTAATTATAAATAGCAATCGTACAATGGACTTGGCTGTTAGCAAGGCTTTCATTACAAAGTGGAAATGATTTGTGTGATGCCATGTACTCTTATGAATTCACTGCACTGGACGTATGTGTGTATGAAGGCATACATACTCGAAGCAATGTGCCGCAGTCAACACCCAGCTGGGGTCTATCAGAGCTCCCCCGCAGACGTGGTGCAACTTGGTGTTGTTCGTGAAGGGATTCTCCTTCATATACCACAAGGAAATGAGGAAGGGGTAGTCTCCCTTGGACGTCAGCTCGCCGCCAACCACACGTCGCTGTAATGAGACTGAAAATAACGCTTAAAGAATATCACAGAATCAAGGTGTGTTTCGCTTGTATACAGCACCGGTTAACTCTTTGACGGGCATTTAGATATGGAATGCATAAGAAAAGCAAGATTTATGGATGTCAACTTCTTTATTGTGAATAACACGACGTTTCGGAGTGTATGCTTGCTCCTTAAACACCCGATGAAGGAGCAAGCATACACTCCGAAACGTCGAGTTGTTCACAATAAAGAAGTTAACATCCATGAATCTAATTACTTTTCTTAAGTATTGTTTATCAACATTTTCTTACATTTGCTCAAAGAAAACCTCAGAACAATCTTTGTTTTTGACGTATCCCCTTAATTTAAGGGATGACTTTGTTTCCAATGAGTTTCGATGTTTTGTTTTCAGTTCAGTTTTCTAGCTGCTTTTGTAATTTATATTGTCTGCATTTAAGAAAAGAAATCTTCCCTTTTCTTAATTAAAATTATTTAACGGTTTCAATAGTAGTAAGATCGCCTCGTAAGGAATCAATCCATTCTCAAAAATGAACCATGTGCAGTTTGACGGCTAGACGCTGTTATGACCTACGAACATGACTGCGCTACGCTAAATACGCTCTGCGGGATGTCTCGTTAACTCCCTGCTATCCACCAAGTGTCAGTGAATTATGGCACCCTGGAAGGACATTATCGCGCTGTCGCCCACACATTTGTTCAGTTTTTAAGGTGCTGCTGTTCCAGCTACATGACGGCGGTGTGTAAATAATCAAATCCGGACCAGGCTATCGAGTAACTGACGTCATGAGTGAGTGAGTTTGGCTTTACGCCGCTTTTGGTAATATTCCAGCAATATCACGGCAGGGGACACCAGAAATGGACTTCACACATTGTACCTATGTGGGGAAACGAACCCGGGCCTTCGGCGTAACGAGCGAACGCTTTAACCACTAGGCTACCCCACCGCTCCACTGACGTCATGAACAACGATCTACGTAATTGGGACACGAACCAAGTCAGTGAGTCAGACCACCCCGTCCCCTTTAGCTCCTATCGGGGACTGACCATTTGATATTCCGGAGGAGCTATATTCCAGCTATATGGCGGCGGTCTGTAAATAAGCGAGTTTGGACCAGACAATCCAGCCATCAACAACATGAGCATCGATCTACGCAATTGGTATACGATGACATGTGTCAACCAAGTCAGCGAGCCTGACCACCCGATCCCGTTAGTCGCCTCTTAAGACAAGTATAGGTTACTGAAGACCAGTTCTAACCGGGTTTTGGTATTATATTGGTACGATATTCTGGCGATAGCCTGGAATGGTAATTACTTGATTGTCCCAGAAAATAAGAAAGTAAGATACTTTATGGATGACTTCTTCTTATGATGCAACGTTTCGGTATATATTCTTATACTGTGAGTGAGTGAGTTAATATTTAACGTCACATCGGCAATATCTCAGCCACGATCTTATACTGTGACAAGAGTGACAACGGTATAAGAATCTATACCGAAACGTCGCTTGTCAGTCCCGAAGCGCGAGTTCTATTCCCCACATGGGTACAATGTGTGAAGCCCATTTCTGGTGTCCCCAGCCTTGATATTGCTGGAATATTGCCAAAAGCGGCGTAAAACCATACTCAGGCAATCAGTCAGTCATTACAGACAAAGCGATTGCAGACTTGTGTACATGTGCGTTGTTCTCGTTAAACAACACGCCTTAAGTGAGTTTTCTATGACGTTTTAACCCTGATATTCTCACGCTGTTTCCTACGCAAATTAGCATAACTGTGACCATGGGGGGTAGGGCATTTCGTGGGATAGTGCACACGTAGGATTCAATCCCATAATTTCTTCGCCAGGTAATGGAATAGAATTTGCCTTCTAAAAGAGGAAATGTATGATATTTTGATATGTTTACGGTTCTGGCTGATATTTGTGATCCCGAGATTCACACATGATAGTGCTACTTCAGCATTGTTAGAGACTGCACAAATTACGTCTGTGTAAGCAGAGATTACATTTGCAGACACTGGTTTTAGTTTAAACATATTTTATTCACAATGTGAAAAGGATCGGGGACGAGTTCTTTCAACTTATTAAACCCCTCTCCGAAGATATTTACAGTAACTAATTACATCACAAGCAATTATTAGAAACAGAGACAGAGAAAGTCTGAAAGATAACAGGGGGAAATGCTATGATACAAAAGGTGTATAGAGAGAAGACTACTGGAATCGTTTAGATTTGCATATATATTGATGTACATTTTTTAATATAATTTCATTTTTATGATTTGTCAGATCAGCAATGCCGTTTAAAATAACAGATAGTGTTATCACAGAATTACTACCACATACAGCTTGAATCGCTTTAAGCATGATCTTTCTATGTTGATTGTGTAAAGAACATTCTAAGAAATAGTGATGAGCATTTTCGCATGGGTTTCCACATGCGCAAGATGGATCAGTGATTAGCCCTACTGGTAGGCGTCGACCGAGACTTTGTCTTGATGTACATGTACATGTATACTTATATAATCAATATTGAAACTGGGCCACGCTTTAAGCTTCATTGTATCCTTAATGACAAATGGCGGGCAATTTCACAGATGACTGGCCGGTCAAGCTGTGACACTTATTTTTTTAATAATACTTTAATTTTGTGATACCACTGCGTCAACTGTGCTGGAAAATGAGGATTTAATTTAATAAGTCACTTTTAACTTTATGTGTCTTAAACAGGGGGTTCATAAAAAATACACGTGAATAAGTACAAGTACACTCTCCACTGAAGACTTTTAACGTAGTGTTTTGTTATATTATGACGTACGATATATACGGAGTTTCATGGACTGGTGGTTGTGGGTTGGTTTAACGTCGCACTAAGTAATTTTACAGCTATATGGCGGCGGTCAGTAAATAATCGAGTCTGGACCAGACAATCCAGTGATCAACATCACGAGCATCGATCTACGCATTTGGCAGAAGATGACATGTGAAAACCAAGTCAGTCTGACCACCTGATCCCGTTAGTCGCCTCTTTTGACAAGGATGGGTGGCTGAAGATCAATTCTAACCCGGATCTTCACGGGTCACACCCACGTATGAACATTAACAGCAATGCGCCCCTAAACACTTGTTCAATATACAACATCAAGGGATTTTTCGGGTTTTTTATATTTCTTTTACTTGCTTCAAAGGGACAGTAAGGAAGATGTTGCATGCCTGTCAGACTATATTAAGTTAGTGAGTGTTGTTGTCATTGATAGAATAAACAGCTAATAATGACTGTCCAGACTGTCCAGTGATCAACCGCATGAACATTGATCTTCACAACTGGGATACGATGACATGTGTCAACCAAGTCAGCGAGCCTGACTAGTCGATCCCGTTTTTCGGCAAGCCTTTTACGACAAGCACGGGCTGCTGAAGATGGATTCTAACCCGGATCTTCACGGCTATTCAATGATGGTAGTGTTGGCAGTAGTGACAATGTGTGACATGATAATTTTAGAGAAAAGATACAGAAATATCACAAAGCAAGCATTCACTTTACATTTAATCTTTGAATGTGTATTTGTATTCGTACTAATGACATCTAAATAACTTTTCCTATCCCTAACCTCTTTATATATCACTATAAACATTTTGTAAACAAACAGACAAATAAACTGCAAATAAAGTATTTCTATTTTTGCCGAAATCTTTTTGCATTGATAATATAACAACTGTGTATTATGTTATTAAACGTAAGTATTTTTGGCGTTTACACTCAATGTTTCATCGGATAATTTAGACTGGTTGACGCTATATAAAACATAGTCAGAATATCTATCACGCAATTTAAGATTTACAACGTCGTTTATCTGTTCTTTAAAGTTTAATAGAAGGATGGCTATTACACTTACCTGCAATGCATGAAGTAACTGCAGCGAGAACGACAACAGCTGTTACCACCAAATTTCGATATTCCATTTTAAAATCTGTAATTAATTCAAAATACAGCAATATGTATTGTCAGCTTGCGGACATGTAGATTACACCACAACGTTGATAGTCAATGAAGATAGGCATTAACAAAGACGGAATACTAACTATTTCTATATAATTTCATAAATAGCTTGTTAAGCAATCATTATGGTATGAAATTACTGGCCAATTATTGTTCTGATTCGCCGCTATAACTTTTGACTCTGTGTCAGACATAAAAAGCCTAATGGTCCAATTAGAATAGCGATAGCGACTGATAATGATGATACTGATGTTGCTTAATTATTTCATCGGTGCACATCATTGGAAAAATATCCAATTAATATGACAAACAAATCAATTAAGATACATGTACATAAAAACCGAAACGTTATTGGCAAAATCTAGATTGAAAGGAGACGGTAATTTCACTTTAGGTTCCATCAGGTATACGTAAAACATAGAGAAGAAATGTCAGTAAGTATCGGCAACTTTAAAAACAAATTTTGAACTTTTATAGGCGTAAAAGTTCATGCGTAACTTATCATGTATACTCCCAAAAAAAAGAAACGCATATAGGAATTTCAACTGTATTTTTATGTTTATTTTGAAACATCTTGTAGGCTTTATGAGTCAATGAAATATAGCGAAATTGCACACTGGGAATGCAGACTTATCCGTCTTTGGCACCAACTCGAGGAAAGTCAGTCTGAGTGTCACATGGAGACGTGTGGTGGCGCTGAAGTCAATACCTCGTGTGACCACCGTGGGCATCCAGAACTGTACGGCATCGCCTTGGTATCGAACGAATAAGTCTCAGAATCTCGTGTTGCCCAATCGCAGCCCACTCCGCCTGTAGTGCCTGTGCGAGTTGCTGAAGTGTCTGGGGCTGAGGGGTTACGGCGTCGCTCCCGTCTGTCCAGGGCATCCCACAGATGTTCGATCGGGTTTAAGTCCGGTGATCTCGAGGGCCAGGGGAGCACATTGATGTTGTGGTTCTGGAGGAAGTCTCTAGTGTGACGTGCTGTGTGGGGCCTGGCATTGTCCTGTTGAAACAACCCCCTCTGGCGATCAATGATTGGAAGGAGGTGTGGGCGTAGGATTTCGTCACAGTACCGTTGAGCTGTCAGGTTGGATCATCACCAAATCACCATCATAACACTGCCCCGGCCGAATCTGTCCACCTGGGGAACGCAAGCGTCGGCGAAACGTTCACGTCGACGTCTGTACACCCGCATTCTTCCATCGCGTCGTTCCAAAAGAAATCGTGATTCATCACTGAACCAGATTCTATGCCAATTCGGTAGGTTCCAGGCCTGAACGTTAGTGCACCATTAAACTCGATGTCGACGATGTTGTTGTTGAAGCAAAGGGCCAAAATATCGTCTTCTGGCACGTAAACCAGCCTCTCTCAACCTGATCCTGACGGTCTGTGCAGAAGGCCTCCTCAATCCAGGTATTTGTCGAGCGGTACTGGTCGCTGTAGCTGTTCGATGACGCAGGTGATGTACCCGGATGTAGCGACCCTGCGCCGCTGTGGTCGCTCGAGGTCGCCCACTACGAGGGGCATCTGCTACCGCATTCTGCCGGCGATATCTCTCCCAGAGCCGTGAAATGGTGCTTTGGTGAACATTCATGCGTCGGGCAACTGCACTTTGAGACTGGCCAGCTTCAAGCAAACCAATGGCGATATGACGGTTGGCTTCACTTAGACGTGGCATCAATATTCCAAATACAGTGAATAATCGACAGACTTTCTGATCCCCAACTTTCACGTGCATTGCATGTGAATTGTGTATTCTGTGACACTACACGCCGAAATTGAAGATCATGCTGTTAAATATGGGTATTTTACGGATGGTGCGTTTTGTTGTGAGGTTTCAAAACATAAACACTATTGGACTCATAAACAGAGCAAAACCTATTGTAAAATGAATCACGTTTTAATTCATTGCTACATGAAATTGCTATTTTCATGATGCGTTTCTTTTTTGGGAGAGTATATAACTAACTTTATCTTTGGCAATACTCTATTGTTCAGACCATTCGAACAGTTGTTTGATTTTTTTCAAGTCTACCTATCTGAATTTTATTCGTGAGTGCGACGTTTCGATACAGATTCTTGTACCGCGAAACGTCGCACTCACGAATAAAAAGAAATTGTTATCCATAAAGTTTGTTCTATATTTTACTTCCCAACTTCTAAAATGCCACTCAAAGAAACAAATCAATTTATCATAGCTGTTTGGGTTTTTTTCTGTGAAGTTCACGTGAAGCACACTTATGTCTATGCAGTGCAGCCCACCATATATATCCAGATATACATAAATCACACGTCACGTGATGTGGCAATTTTTTATAAAGAAAGAAACGTTTAACCTTCTAGGGAGATATTTTATGTATCAACACAGGTGGTGGCCGTACATCCATCAGCGATTATGTAGATCACGACATTTACTGGGGATCGTGGTATCCTTCCATATTTTACAGTCTCATGCTTATTCAGTAATTTGCTTAATTGCTGTCTGCGGTAATAACGCTGACGTGAGGTAATTAGTCAAATTCACGTACGTGACGGTATGAAATATATACATGACATCAATTATGAAGATCCAGGGCCTCTCGAGATTATATAGGATTAATGACTGTTCTCCATACCTAATGTACTTTGTTACGCGATGTTTATTTCCATTTATTATTCCATTTATTAGATAATAACCGTGCAATCAATTATTTCTTGAACATTGTTGTGTGGAAGTGTTATTTATTGTGTAACAGTGTTTCAAGTGTATTATATTGTTTCTGTTGACACTGAGTAGATGGGGAAGTGGTTTGCCATATTTAGACGTGTGCTGTATTTAGACTGAGAGTGAGTGAGTGAGTGAGTGAGTAAATGAGTTTAGGTTTACGCCACACTCAGCAACATTCCAGCTATATGACGGCGGTCTGTAAATAATCGAGTCTGCACCAGACAATCCAGTGATCAACAGCATGAGCATCGATCACGCATTTGGGAACCGCTGACATGTGTCAACCAAGTCAGCGAGCCTAACCACCCGATCCCGTTGGTCGCCAGGACAAGCATGGGTTACTGGAGATCGATTCTAACCCGGATCTTCATGGGTGTATTTAGACTGAGAGTCCTGGAAACTATCAGTTTAAGTCTCATCAAGGGTATACAGCATAGCCATATTTTATGACTTATGAGAGACTGTTGGAGATAATCTAAAATACAAATTGAAAAATGATAGAAAAAGGGCATAGAAATGTACAACATTCACTGTAAATAAACATTCATAGGGCATAGAAATGTACAACATTCATAAATGTAAATAAACGATCTACTTCATACTAAAATTAGGTAGGGGCATAGAAATGTACAACATTTGGCAACTTATACTCAAATAGGTGACAGGGTTTTGGCAATTTCTTTGACAGATTTAGATAGCAAAATGAAGAACTTGTGTACATGACAGACACCACTTTATATTCATCACATAACAACTGAGACTGACATTTGAAGTTAAAACGAAAAGTGGGACAACTCATTAAGAC